ACCGCGGCAGTCCCCGAGTGCCAAACGTGTTTTTTTTTCTTTTCATTTACTTAGTATAGGTACATTATACATACTAAGTTATATGGTATATAGCTGTCACCATTAAGACGTTGATATAAAACAATTTTAATGACTGAATCCTGTACAAGATCAAAAAGCAAGTCACAATACGGCTGGCTTGGTACGGCTTAAAACCATGTTTATTTTGCTCTTGACAAATTCTGAGTCGATTATTAACGATTATCTTAATATATTGTTTTTGATAGTGTAATTTTCTATACGTAAACAAGGAAATGAGATACGACACAGCTGCCCACCGAGCATAAAGATGAAAGTGCGTGTGCAATGAGCATTGCATAACGAGTAATTTAAGTACTTTATATAATTATATCGTGATAAAACATGTAATGAGATAGTTGTTATAAAACTTTATGTAAACAAGAAAATTGATTTCTATGTCGTTTGTTTTTTTATGAAGTAAATGGCACTTAATTTCCGCGCGTACTGTATAATCTTTCGTTTCTATCCTCATCTGCACATTTAAATCTAAAATTCAAACGAAGCGTTAACATTGGGTATGACTAGCATAAAATTACAACAAATCACACATGTGGCGATAGCTATCACAGAACACAAGATATTTGATATATGCCTGAATCTCGCTTACGATATTTTCAAAATAAGCTAGCATGTATACAAGTTCCAAACAACAACCAGGACCATCCGTCTACCAAGCAATAACACCCGCTCGATGGAAGATCTTCCCTATGTCTTATATCTCTTCACATCGTCACCTGGTCGCAAACTAGGATTCTCTGTACCTATCAGAACTAGAGACTAATCTAAATACTATAGATTAAAATATATACATATACTTATATATCTCGGAGAAGCCACATTTATTAACACCATCGTCAGACATCATAGGCGCGAATAGGGTGATCGAGCCAAGAGAAAATTTGAGCACACCAATCACGTTTGTTGTCCAAGAACAACCCAGAAATCTTTTCTTGACATTACCAAACGAAAACGAATGACAGTTCTTAGGACGGAGGCATCGCCCTCAAAAAGGCTGGTTGGTAAGTGTGATAACGTCTACGCGCCTGCATCGGCTAGGGTCTGTCGTAGCACGAAGTTAGCCGAGTTCCGACGATACCGCAATCTTGCTGCCATCTCTCGGGACTCATGCTGTGTTTCGTTTAGCTACCAAACTAATGATCGTCTCCGACATATAGATATTAAACATCCAGACAAACATCAAACAGAACTGTTCATCATAGAAATGTTTGCCCGAAAAGATGGGAATCAAACCCAGCCAGTGATGCCAACTCCGGGGTTTTCCCCCCAAATTTAGGGGGAAAAAATCTATACAGGGATTTTTTAGGGGGTGGAATTGTTAGGGATAAAATTTTATATAGAAAAGTACTTAAAATACTAAATAACTATTGTTATTAACTAATTATTTATTATTTTTATTTATTTCTTTACTTATATTGTAATGAATAAATACTTGTTCCGTCGTTGGGGAGTTTTGTTTTGAATTTAGTGGTTTTTGAAATAGCTTTAGGGGGAAAGTTTTTAAACAGTTGGCGACACTGAACCCAGCAGTCAGGGACAGTAAACTACTACACCATCGAGTTAGACAAAACTGTACAAAGCCTAGAGAGATAGCAAAAAAAAAAGAGAAAGAGTTGCAACATTCTAATTATCCATCGTATCCAATTTAACACAAAGACACTTGCATAATCAAGATCCTTAGTTGCAACAAGTACTTGACCGCTTTTCGGCGTGACCAAACCATCAGACCATTGTGTCCGACACAATAGAGCGCCAACATTTGCAAGGAGCAGAATTTGCAACAGAACCGTGTTACTGTTGTCATTATTACGACAATGTCATCAAATTTGTCTAATACTTTAACGACTTTTATTTATTGCTTAGTTAGGTTCTCCATTCTCACGAATCGTTTGGAGCCTCTGGGTCTGTGGAGGGACTTCGGTTCCCTCTGTATTTTGTACCGTATGTTCCATGGGGAGTGCTCTGAGGAATTGTTTGAGATGATACCGGCATCTCGTTTTTACCATCGCACCGCCCGCCACCGGAGTAAAGTTCATCCATACTACCTGGAGCCACTGCGGTCATCCACAGTGCGTTTCCAGAGGTCTTTTTTGCCACGTGCCATCCGGCTATGGAATGAGCTCCCCTCCACGGTGTTTCCCGAGCGCTATGACATGTCCTTCTTCAAACGAGGCTTGTGGAGAGTATTAAGTGGTAGGCAGCGGCTTGGCTCTGCCCCTGGCATTGCTGAAGTTCATGGGCGACGGTAACCACTCACCATCAGGTGGACCGTATTTAATGCTCGTCTGCCAACAAAGGCAAAAAAAAAAAAGGTAGACGAGCTCACGGCCTACCTGGTGCTAAGTGATTACTGGAGCCCATAAACATCTACAACTTAAATGCGCCACCGACCTTGAGATATAAGTTCTAAGGTCGCAGTATGCATTACGGGTTCATGGCAGAGTTAGGCAGGGTGGTGGTATCTACCCGTGCGGTCTCACAAGACGTCCTACCACCTAGGTACCTACTTAGGTAGGAAAAACAAAGTAGATTCTTCTCAGCTTCACTGTATCCTCAAACGATGCTAAAGTTATGACAACTCTAAAGCGCATAAGAAAGCCTACTTCTACGAAAAAGATCTTGACATTGTGACTATTTTGTTATCTCGCTGAACTAATAAAATGACTTGCCCCTCAACAGGTTAACATTCAGTAATAGAACACGTATTAAAAAAAACGTCTAAATAAAATAACAAACAGTGACGTAATGTGTTATATTTGCATTAATAACGTGCCCATATAAAATCAATCGACGAATAACGCAAACCTTAATACCCACTCATGGCCTCTGACAAGATTTTGATATGCTCGGTGGAAGTTTGATAAAATAACTAAAGAAATACGATTTGATGCTTGAGTTTTATTCACTGATTCACATTGTAATGTTAATGTTAATATACTGATTATATCCGTCCATTGTCTCATCCAGGCAGACGAGCTCACGACCCACCTGATGCTAAGCGTCTCAATTGCAATGGTACACTAGATAACGTATCCCTAATAGCGGAATGTGTAATTGTTGTATTCCCTTCGGCTTCCGCGATTCGCAGATTTAAACATTAATTTTACGTTATTTTTTAAATTTTTTTAAGCTGCTGTTACGTTTGCCCTTATTAATTTCGTTTTATTGTTTCCATCATTTCAAACGATTTATTCACCATCCACGTATAATCAAAGCAATTTAACGAACCCCGACAAAGAATTAAAAATTACTAGTGCATACCTAATTATCATAACTAGTGGTCCCGCAGTAGTCGAAATTCGACTATAATTAATTGAAATTATAAGTTTCAACATTATTATGGTCATATTGTTACAGATTTTGCCAAGACTACACTATATGCAAATATTCGTAATATTAAAGATAAACAATACTAACCTATTTTCAATTTGACTACAGACTTTAAGCAATAACAAAAGTTTGACAATACTTCAGTGCAATAAACAAAGAGTATATGTGTGTGTGTCAAATACATGGTAGTGTGTGTAATGTTTTCTTTATTGATTTAAGGTATCTTTTATGCATAATTTAAAAAAAAATATTAGCATTGTGCACTTCTTCTCTATATTCTCTATAAGTGTGGAAAATTTCATACTCCTCCGTCCGCGCAATTTTCTTAAAAAGGGATACAAAGTTTTTGCTTCACGTATTAATATATAGATTCCACCGTAATAACGAACATCTGAAGACTTAAATTATTTTTAAATATATTGCATAATGTGTTTGGCCTTTTAGTCATTGTTAAGAAAACAAAACTGCCTCTAAAATTTTTATTGGCAACATTAAAACTTATCAATATATATTGAACAAAGGAAAAAGAATCGGTTGACAAACAAAGGAGTACTTACTTGGTACTTTCTTATCTTTGTCTATTTATTAAAATTATGTGGTTGTAATGTATTATAGATTTCAATGCGACCATTTTTAGGACAATATTATTTTGTATTTATGATCTAAAAGACTCTGTCTAGAGATCGAGACCACAAGATAAGTAAATCATTATCTTTGTCGTGTTTTGATGTGTATGTTTTACTCGTGGTAGGACGTCTTGTGAGTCCGCACGTGTGGGTACCACCACTCTACCTATTTCTGCCGTGAAGCAGTAATGCGTTTCGATTTGAAGGGCCGGGCAGACGTTGTACTGGAGTAGAGTTCATCCATACTACCTGGAGCCACTGCGGTCATCCACAGTGCGTTTCCAGAGATCTTTTTTGCCACGTACCATCCGGCTATGGAATGAGCTCCCCTCCACGGTGTTTCCCGAGCGCTATGACATGTCCTTCTTCAAACGAGGCTTGTGGAGATTAAGCGGTAGGCAGCGGCTTGGCTCTGCCCCTGGCATTGCTGAAGTCCATGGGCGACGGTAACCACTCACCATCAGGTGGGCCGTATGCTCGTCTGCCTACAAGGGCAAAAAAAAAAAAACTGTAAAAACTGAGACCTTAGAACTCATGTGTCTAGGTGGCGGCATTTACGTTGTAGATGTCTATGGGCTCCGGTGACCACTTAAAATCTGGTGGGCTATGAGCTCGTCCACCCACGCTTTTTTTACAATAAAATATTTTTTTCTTACACTTTTTTTAATTCAAATTTATTAAATTTTATTATCTATTTTTTTAGTTGGATTTTCTATAAAAGCATATTTTGTTCGTTTTTTTAAACTAATATTTATTTTTAATTTTTTAGTTGAATTTCAATTTTTTTAATTTATTTTTTTTTCATTTCTTTTTTAATTTGAATTGTCATCGATGCTTAATAAGAATACGAAATTTCGAGTTAATCCAACGTTTTGAAGGGGGTCAAAATCATTTTCAAAGATTCCGTTACAAACATACTACGTATTAAAAAATTTAAAAAGCTAATTAAAAATAAATCGATTTCAGATGAAATGCTAGAAGGCGAAGGGGCGGGTCTTGCGGCTCGCGTGGCCGAGCTTGAGGTCCGCTGCGCCAGACAGGCTGAAGAACTACTCTGCCTACGGTCCACCCTCGCTGATGCTCTGAGGAGACTCAACGCTTTAGAAGGCAGAGCTCCACCACCCTCTACGGGCACACAGAGAAACGGAACGTATACAGGTGAGATTTGACAACATCGGTGCTTAGTGCGAGTTTTTTAACGTTCTCGATAACGTAAAAGTCAACTCAATTCTGTATGCAGTTGGAACAGCGCCCCTAGCGGCAAACGCGGGCAAACATTTCAACTCCATACACATTAAAGTTAACTTTAACGTTATCGAAAACGTTAAAATACTCACACTAAGGACACAGGTATGTTTCTTTATTGGCATACGTGTAACGAAGCCCATAAGAGTAAATATTTTGAGAGTTTTATTTATTAATATTGTTTTTTTTTAAATATAAACGACAACCGCATTCGGGTTTCCACTAACCACAATTAATTCATAGCTTTCAAATGCATAAACCGAAATATTATAATCAGATTGTGCGCTTACTCCTGTATCGAGGCTTTCTATTAAATTTAATGATCAATTACTTATTACTAGTGGCCCCGCAGTAGTCGAAATTCGACTATAATTAATTGAAATTATAAGTATAAACATTATTATAGTTCTATTGTCAAACACTATTATACTTCTATAATAAAATCCAATCTATAACCGATTTCGCCAAAACTACACTATAGATAAATAATATTAAAGACAAACAATATTAGCCTATTCTCAATTTGACCACAGTCTTTATACAATAACAAAAGTTTCACAATGTTATAAATATTTTATTATAAAAAAAAAAGAACACAATATCCCTAACCTAAAAGTACATGTTATTATCCGCAACATGCTTCGTCAGATTACAGAAATAAAGTTATCAGCAACATGCTTCGTCAAAAAGTTTCACAATTGACAATAAACAAAGAGTATATTTATATGTATGTGTTGTGTCAAATAGATGGTGATGTGTGTAATGTTTTTTTTTATTGATTTAATGTATTTCTTTTGCGTAATTAAAAAAAATATTAGCATTCTGCACTCCTTCTCTATAATCTCTATAAGTGTGAGAAATTTCATGCTCCTCCGTCCGCGCAATTTTCGTAAAAAGGGGGTACAAAGTTTTTGCTTCACGTATTAATTACTTACTAGAGGTCCCGCAGTAGTCGAAATTCGACTATAATTCATTGGAATTGTAAGTTTGTACACTATTATGATTGTATTTTATACTTCTATAACCACAAATTTCGCCAAGGCTACACTATAAAAAAATATTAATAAAGACAAACAATATTTAATCTATTCTCAATTTGACCACAGACGTCAAAAACAAAAGTTTGACATTAAATAGTATGCATGCGTGTGTGCGTCAAATACATGGTATGTAGTGTGTGTAATGTTTTCTTTGTTGATTTAATGTATCTTTTATGCATTATTTAAAAAAAAAAAGTAGCATTGTGCACTTCTCTATATTCTCTATAAGTGTGGAAAAAATCTTATACTCCTCCGTCTGCGCAATTTTTGTAAAATGGGGTACAAAGTTTTTGTTTCGCGTATTAATATATAGATTATTGTTACGATTATAATGACGTAAACGTCGCAGAGGCTTGCGACCGTATCGTGTAAACATTAAAAACTAGTTATTATTCATATGACGGACTTCACACAAAGTTGTCCGGTATACAAAACTGCGCGAATGTGTCAACTATGTCAACATTGCGTACTGTAAATACATCGCCTTTGTGTATTGAGTAATATTACATGTGACTGGCAGTCGACGAACAAGTCGCTCAGTGCAACAGTAGCCCGTACATACCATAGAAAATATTTACTTCATTACAATACGCAAATGTTCTTGTAGTAACCAACGGTTTGATACTAGCGGTTAATAGAGGTTAACAGTTATTATGGCTTTACTTAATTTTACAAAATAGTTTATCTGTGATTGTTACTTGATTACTTGGAGCAAGCCGTGGCCACTACTCCACGAATCCTGATCATGCAGGAGCCAGTCACCGTCGACGCCCTAGACACGTCCTTACGGATCCATCAGATCCAATAACCTTGCATTAGACACCTTTAGCTCTAACACTAGGAGTAAGGACCCCGGTAACCGTACTCGTTGAACTCTGCAAAGAGTTAGTGTAGCAGTCCACGGCGGGACGTAGGCCTAATTGGAGAGCCCTACGTCAAATATTTGAATAAATAAAAAAATAAAATAAAAAAAAAACCGAATGTTTTGATTTTCGAATTTTTTAACTGAACAAAATAAATGCTCATGGAACAAACAGTCTCGGTAGTCGCCTCAGAATTAAGATACGACAAATTGAATTAGAAAATGCACACAATTAAAAATTTGTACAAAACAGTACATGGCAATCGCCTTGAATAGGAACGAGCTTATTACATCACCCGCTTAATTAGTAGTAAAAAATTTAATTGAATGTTCATCTCTTTCACAATTGTTGATTCTTTGACTTCGCTTCAATATATTTACGAAATACACTAAACAATGTTTATTTTGTAACTTAATTTAATTATTGGCCTAAGTAAGCTAAATATCCAACTACCTAATGCTATTCGATAAACTTAACCTTTTAAGATGAAAACAAAAACAAACATTTAAAAAATACCACCGTCTGTGACAGTCTGTACGGCATGACCGTCTACTAACAAATACGATTTAATAATAATGGTTTTTTTATTGTACTAGATTGGTAGATAAGCTTACGGCTATCTAAATTTCACTTTTTTTTTATTGCTTAGGTTAGTAGACGGTCTCACAGCCCACCTGGTGTTAAGTGGTTACTGGAGCCCATAGACATCTACAACGTAAATGCGCCACCCACCTTGAGATATAAGTTCTAAGGTCTCAAGTATAGTTACAACGGCTGCCCCACCCTTCAAACCGAAACGCATTACTGCTTCAGGCAGAAATAATTTAATACAATCATTCCGTTAGCCAATAAATCCGTTTCTTTATCGTTGTTCGATCGTATATAAAATTATAAATGAATGTCAATCAAATATTTTGCTTCATTTTCAGGATCATCAGGAACACCAACAAGAGAACTCCGGATAAGACAACCGACGTATCGTGAGACAGCCAAAAGGACTTCCAGTTATGGGTCCTCAACGTCTTCGTTGCCCCAAAGGTAGATAATAGAGAAACAAAAGATAGATATAGATCGATAGAAGCATGTAGTTGTATGATCTTTTGTTAATACCCAAGATTCAAATTGTATAATTTGAACCTTTTTAATTACCTTTTATACTAACGCACTTTATAAAAAACGCTAAGATAACAATTCTTCCAATAAACGTTTTAAAATATTAATTTACTGCTTCACGGCAGAAATAGGCGGGGTGGTGCCACCTACCCGTGCGGACTCACAATAGGTCCTACTTACCTACCAGTAATTACGCAAATTATAATTTTGCGGGTCTGATTTTTATTACACGACTAGTTGACCCAGCAGACTTCGTAGTACCTCAATCGGTAAATAAAAGACCTAAACTTTTGTATAAAATAAACTTAAAACAAACAAAAGGAATCCGTCCGACGGGGTACACATCAAAGGACAAACAATATTTTTATTTTTATTTAATTCCGAGCATTTTCATATTTATTTACCTTTTAAACCTTCTCTGGACTTCCACAAATAATTCAAAACCAAAATTAGCCAATTCATTTTTATATATATAGATGCTATTCCTTCACCGTGGATTGTCGACGTGCCTGACTAGACTTGCCGATTGTTGAGGCAATTTCACAATAAATTGAACAGAACAGTAATGCCTCGCAATTTTCTGCCGCAGACGTGGTCCACAACACCAATCGACGGGCTCTCTGCAGTCAGACTCGCCGGCGTCTTCGTCATCCCTCTCACCGGCACCCTCGCCCTCACCACGAGCCACGCCCGCACCACTCCATGTACCACACGCATCACAACCATACAGGTAATAACTGCTGAAAAGCATCCTAAGTAATTTCCTTGAAGCGAGCGGCCTGAAACTGGATCAAACTTGCATGCAACTTTAGACTGGTGGTAGGACCTCTTGTGAGTCCGGACGGGTAGGTACCACCGCCCCGCCTATTTCTGCTGTGAAGCAGTAATGCGTTTCGGTTTGAAGGGCGGGGCAGCCGTTGTAACTATACTTGAGACCTTAGAACTTATATCTCAAGGTGTGTGGCGCATTTACGTTGTAGATGTCTATGGGCTCCAGTAACCACTTAACACCAGGTGGGCTGTGAGCTCGTCCACACATCTAAGCAATAAAAAAAAATCCATCATTAATACGCTTTTATTAGCTTCAGACGTATGTATGTTTGTAACGGAATCTTTGAACATGATTTTGACGCCCTTCAAAACGTCGGATTAACTCGAAATTTGGTATACTTATTAAGGACCGATGACAATTCAATATTTAAAAATATTTAAAAAATATTGAAAAAATTGAAATGTGACTAAAAAATGAAAAATAAATAATAGTTAAAAAAACTAACAAAATACGCCATTATAGAAAATCCAACTAAGAAAATAGAAAATAAATTTTAATCAATTTGAATTAAAAATAGTGTAAGAGAAAATGATTTTATTGTAATAAAAGCGTGGGGTGCATGGTATCAGTAGTTATAAATATTTTATGAACAGGTATGAGTGGAAAGGTTATTTTGATAATATCCTGAAAAGCACCCCACGCTTTTTTACAATAAAATCATATTTTCTTAAACTACTTTTAATTCAAATTTATTAAAATTTATTTTCTTTTTTTTTAGTTGGATTTTCTATAAAGGCGTATTTTGTTAGTTTCTTTAAACTATTATTTTGTTAGCCACAATATGTGTCAGTAACTTATTATCATCAGTCAGTGGAGCTGAACCTTTCCCTTCAGACAATCCAACCAACCATTGAACACCATTAAAGCATACATTTCTAAGAAAACCAAATATTCTAAGAAAAAAAAAAACAATTGGATGTAAATGGTACATTATATATCATAAAAGCTTCAGATATATCCGTCTCTTTCTTTGGATCTTCAACCAACGTGATAGATGGAATACAAATCGATGCCTTTGAAATTTTTTATTAATTCTTTAGAACATTCTTGTGCTACTTGTTTATAGATTTAAGATAACTGTCTAGGAAATTTTATATACAGGGTGTCCCAGAAAGAATGGATAATTCTGAAAAACATCATATTGGGGATTCAAAATAAAAAATATATTTCTTAGGTAGTACCCAAATTAAATATAAAGAAAAAATACCAAATTTCATGATTAAAATTTAAGTTCAGATTAACTTTTATAAAAAATTACACTAGCTACTCATTCGATTTCCTGCATATTCCTTAGTATACTCCATGTTGAATATTATAACACCAAAAAGCCTATGGATTTCAATTATTCATTATCATCATTTTTTTTTAAATACGTAATTTGGGTACTTACTACCTGAGATTTTTTCATTTTAGTTTTTATTTTGTGTCCCCAATAATTCTACTGTGAGGTGTTTCAGCATTATCTATTCCTTCTGGGACACCCTGTATATATGCTGTAAGCCAAGATATAAGATACAATAGAACAGGGCCTGGATGTAAGTAGTTCTTGTGAATTGGCGGTAGTTCTTTTGACGTTCAACAAGTATGTACTTTCATTTATGTTGAATAAAAAAAAAATTTTTGATTTGATTTGATTTGATTTGATTTGATTAAGGAACTCGCTCCAAACCTTTTCCATTTACTGTATATTTTTCTGTTGAAAAAATTTGTGTTAATGTTGGCAAAAAAATTTAATATTAACATAAAAAAAGATAAGCACGTTATGTTTATTTCGGTTCTTCCCAGGAATATGGTTTTTCTTGGAACCGCTTCAAAGTTGATTAACAATGAAAATGTTCAATGTCATCAAAAATTGTAATAATGATTCTAAGAAATTCAAAAGATAAGTAGCAGCCAATCACAATTTACATTAAGAATAAGTGGAATAAATAAACGTTGGTTTATTTAACTATTAATGATTTCTGATCTTATTTCTGTTTTTTGTTAATTCGTTGACGCTATATTTATATAGATCTAATTATTGGATCTATTGTATTTCGATGTTGCCTCAATCCTTTTATACTATCCTTTTATCCTTTATACCTTTATAAAGTTCATCTCCAACTTCCTTATTTATATTTAGAGATTTTCATTAATTTCACCTTCACACACATTTCACCTTTGTTTTGCAACGATAGCTCACGCCTACCTAATGAAGGCTATGTGCTGCTCAAAATTAGTTTCGTGAGGACTTCACGAAAACCCGATCCAAAGATGTGTGTAGTCAAACAAATAGGCAGAACGACAATAAACCTAAAAAGTGCTTTATGTTTCATTAGTCTTCTCTCCCTTTTTATATTTATTCTAAATACAGACACGCCGTATTCTTCTGTTTTTATATCCTCCTCCGTGCGTAGTAAAACCTCAAAACCTCGTGACCTCTGTGGGGTTTCAGAATCTTCCGGCGGACTATAACAAGCTATGTCGACCCGTCCTCGGTGTCATGGACCGTCTCACATACAGTGTTGTTCATATTGCCTTTTAGCATTAAAAGTGTACAATTTCCAAAAATATTCGAAATTGACTTAATATGCGTAAACATCATCACCAGTATTTTTCTCATAAATACTGTCAAAAGAGCGTAGTTTAGTTGTAGTTCTTTTTTTTTTCAAGTTTACCTATGTTTCAACTACTATTAACAAAATTAATACATAATTTTATCTTACTTCAAAAGACAGATAATGTAACTGGTAAAAAATAAATAAAAAATGTTGCAAATATGATTAATATTAAAAATATTATATGTTAAACCTTTAAAACACTCGACGATATATGTATCGTTGATATGTCCCCAATCGCGACAGTAGTATTTTAAGTAGTAGTAGTAGTAGTATTAAGTAGTAGTATTTTAAGCACCTAGTATTTTGTAAGGCCGTTTGGATCGTTCACAATCCTCACGCATCAAACACGTCACAGCTTGATTAGTCATTGTTAAAAGTAGTCGTTGTTGGCTAGATCCCGAAACAACTCGACCTCGAGCAAGGAGAGCGTGTCTCCGGGTGTGAACCTCACGAAACGCTGGAGCTCCACAGGGGATTTCAACGCGCAAGGCCTCATCGCAAACAGCAGGTCAGTTTAGCGCCTCAATACACTTATATCGAGCGGTGAAAGGTTATATGGCTTAAGCGACATTTTTGCAATTTTACAACAGAGTCATTTACTTAAAGCGTATAATTTTGAAAAAAAATATCGTAACAAAAAAACTTCTTCAGCAGTTTACTGGTGGTAGGACTTCTTGTGAGTCCGCAAGGGGAGGTACCATAACCCTACCTATATCAGCCGTGTGCAGTAATGCGTTTCGGTTTAAAGGGTAGGGTAGCCGTTGTAACTTTATTGAGACCTTAGAACTTATATCTCAAGGTGGGAGGCGGAATTTACCTTGTAGATGTCTATGAACTCAGGCAACCACTTAACACCAGGTGGGCTGTGAGCTCGTCCACAAATCTATGCAATAATTTTTTTTTTAGGATCAGGTATACTTAATGGAAGTTCAATTAAAAACATCGAATTTTTGATGCTAAAGCTCGCATATCATACGAAATGTCGCTTAAACCAAATAACTTTTTACCCCTCGATATAATAATTGGCAGTTTTAAACTTTTTTAGTAGACTAAAAGTCAAATCACGTAGACTTCGGACGTAATTTTCTTCGTTCTTTGATCCAATCAAGGAATAGATATATCAAATTTAACATATAAGTTCATTTCTGTATATGATTTAAAAAAATAATAAACGTATCAAAGTCAAGAAAATATCGAAACTAAGTAACGGAAGTTATGTGTAAATATATAAGTACCTCATTATAAAGTGTCTGTTATAATCTTAACTTAGTTTCGAACTGCAATACCCGGTATATCTATCGGTTATAAAACTCACTTCACTGGTGGTAGGACCTCTTGGGAGTCCACACGGGTAGGTACCACCACCCCGCCTATTTCCGCCGTGAAGCAGTAATGCGTTTCGGTTCGAAGGGTGGGGTAGCCGTTGTAACTATACTGAGACCTTAGAACTTATATCTCGAGGTGGTTGGCGCATTTACGTTGTAGATGTCTATGGGTTCCAGTAACCACTTAACATCAGGTGGGCTGTGAGTCGTCCATCCATCTAAGCAAAAAAAAAAAAACTGTCAATTATTCACTAAGAATCCATACATTCATCTTGCAGGTTATCTCTGAATCACCATGTAAAACTGCTAACTGTAAACACTTCTGCACCTACGCGATGCTCTGTAGTGTTTAGATAACTGTCCATTTAATACGATACCTCTTTTATTGTTTTAAACAAATTTCCGGACTACGCCATAATTGTCTTCACGGGGGTCAAATCCAGACCACAAATTATTTAAAAAAAAATTGAATTATTATGTTTTAAAACAAAATTTGTGAAAAGAAAAAAATATATATAATTTAAAAACCAATGGGTACTCAAAATTGTTATACCCTAAATTGTTATATTCCAACTGTTGAGTACATTAGTAACAAGTACCTTTTGTAAGTGGTTAAATGTGTTCGGATTCAGTTTTTATACGAATAAGTATGAATATATTAATTCTTACTAGTTCAAAGTGCTAGAACGGTAGGCAGCGGCTTGGCTCTGCTCCTGGCATTGCTGAGGTCCATGGGCGACGGTAACCACTCACCATCAGATGGGTCGTATGCTCTCTGCCTACAAGGGCAATAAAAAAAACAATTAAAATGTTTATGGTAGCATTTTAGTAAAACGCTTCTTACTCTGTCACAATAATTCGAAAAATAATAAGGAATATAAATGTATTAAATGGACAATCTTATGTACTATGTCTTATCGTTACGTCAAATCCTAATTTGATTTATGTCCTCTCCTAGATTCACGACAAAGTCGTTGCTAAACTTGTATTCTAAGCCAACACAGAATGGAGCTATTTTGAAGCACGGGTAAGTAAGTCTTTGAGCTTGGTGTCGGGTTTCTTAACTGGCTTCGGTTATGGGTTTCCTAATACACATACACAGATTAGGAGTTTTTGGGGGCTTGGGATTTTTTTTTGTTATATATTTGTATGTTTCTAGAAATACTACAGTTAATTTTATTGTAGCCACGAAAATTGGAGGTGTCAATTTAAAATCACAGGAGAAACGTCTTTCGGGAAATTAATACTAATGCCCGTATACTTGAGACCTTAGAACTTATCTCAAGGTGGGTGGCGCATTTGCGTTGTAGATGTCTATGGACTCCAGTAACCACTTAACACGAGGTGGGCTGTGAGCTCGTCTACCCATCTAAGCAATAAAATAACCCTTACGAATGAACAGCATCTATCGTTCACGGCCATCTAAATCACGCTATTTCCATATTCAAGTTACTCTTCGATAAATAGATAATGTAGCTAACCACCGTTATCTTATACGCTGAACAATAACGCGTTTTATTGATATGATACGCCTGTACCGACTGCAATCAGTGATATGACATCAGTCCACGTACAATGAACACTAAGGTGCTATTTTCGTATTAAGCATCGTTAAACTGTGACAACGTTCAATTGCCATAGAAGGTCGTGTTGGATTGTAAGTCTATACAGTCTAGATTAGTTTTATCGTGTTTGATGAAAATGCTAGACGAAGCTTTAGTTTATTTTGTGTCGATCCCAGGATGGATATAGTAAATGATATATAGGTATATGAATAGTCAAAGTGAGAGCTCATCTTATGTTGGTTTATTAAGGCTTTAGTAGTGGTGTCAACATGAATTGAATTGGTGTCTTGAAGTATGAGCTTTTATATTCAAAAAGTTTCATTATGTCAAACGCACAAATATACAAAGTATTTAAAATATTTTTAAAAGTCTGAAATCTCCTAGTTGATTCTGTAGTAAGTGACAAGACTACTGCACCACAGTCTGGGTTCGGCTCCGGCTCGGAGTCACTACCGTTCTTTGTACTAGATTTTCTAGTACATACAGATTAACTCCTGGCACATCTGTTATTAAGTAGTTAGCAGAGCCCGGAGACAATAGAATGCGAATGTCGGCACCCGCTTTGAGACATGAGGCCGAAGTCTCAACAAACCGGCGGCAAAAACAGAAAGGTTCGTGTTCACGACCCGTGTGAACCCACGATACGCTCTATCTTTAGATTTACCCTACCCATACGCTTGAAGCCTAAGGCCTAAGAAGCTTCCAGCTTCGCGCGGACAGATAGGTAAGCTCACGGGCTCAACCTGAGAGAATTTGCTAACACTAGCCCTAGCAAGAGCAGTGCTTCTCCGAATCTACCACCGGATGGGAATCACAACTTACTGAGAAAATCCGGCGAAAAACTCAGTAGGCTGTGTCTGTGAATTAATTTACTCATCGAGCCCTTCATCGCAAGCGACGGGTTCGACGAGAACGATGACCGGTGCTTGAGGTACCTAAAAGCACCGTTAGTGGATCGGGAGGATCCGAAATGACGTGTTTTGGGCGACGTCGACTGCTTTCCATGATGTCCGCAGGATCGGGAATGTAGTTACCGGCGGCCACAATGAGAGGGTTCTCGTGTCATGCCGCTTTATCGAAGTGGCGCACGTTTGGGATAACTATTGTAGATTGAAAAAAGTGACAAAATATTAATATACCTGATAAATATTCTTTAAGTATTCTATATTTATTTAGGTGCAATTGTTGATGGCTCGTGTCTTTCCGTAAAAAATTCAACCGAAGACCGTAACGTTTATAAAGCTGTACATAACCACGCAATTATTTCATGTAAAGATAATGAATGAGTGTACGACCATTTATGACAATCATCGTCCACCATCAGCGAAGCGATGTGAAACAAGCGAAACCGTCATATAGATAAATTATTATCTACACATTTGCTTTTTAAGTTTCTGTCTACGTCACAGTACAAAAATAATATGTATGGCTGACAATAAATTTCTATGAAAATTCTAAAAGATTTTTATATTAGAAAACATGGAAATCAACTTTCAATTTCAATGACTTATGTATTCGATGATTCGAGCTTTGTTTTTCACTAAACGTGTATTTTTTTTCCCAGAAAAAAAAAACTCATTCCCGCTACTGAGACAAAGCTAATGTCTGTAATGCTTAAAAGTAAAATTTCAAAAGACGGCTGTGAATTCAGAGCCTTTCAAAAAAGTCCAAGAGCCTTGGATCTTAGTCGGGTAATTGATAACAACTTAATCAACGAAATTGTCTGAAATTGTGCTGAAATGTGATTGAAATACAATGGAAATGAGTCGAACAAGTAAGAGCGAATGCGAACATCAGAATCCGCGATCAACTAAACATCCATCTACAAAAACATAATCCATAAACACAAATCAAGACGAGCCAATACAATAGGAAAATTAATTAAAGATTTTTTGAAGATTTCCGTGTGGGATGAGAATGGCGCGGCTTGCGCTATGTCGGGTTCAAAAAACTTGACAAATAACTTTGAATACCTTATTTGCAAGTGAGTCTATATAATTCGAAAAAATATTATGCGTTAAAATTTTAATGGCTTACGTAAATATAAAGTAAGTAGTATTATAATTAAACAGAGCTCATTAATAAGTATTATGCATTTGGTAAGATTGAATTTAAAAAAAAATATCATGTTCGAAAATCTACATTTTAGTAACGCATTTTATATTACACTTGAAACATATCAACAACGCTAATCTATATTATATACCTACTCAGGGACGTCTTAAGCTAGGATGGGGCCCTTGGGCACACAAGAATTGAGGCCTTTTGGAAAGTGAAAAATGCGAATTATAATAACATTTTTTTACTGAGTATGACCATTTATTATAGGTAATCAAATACAGTATGATATAATATGAGTTTTTTGGTTACGATTTCGATAACGGTTTCTTTCGGGATTTCTGTTGAGCAAAATCTTCTATTATAGGCATAGTATATGCCTTCTAATACCTTCTGATTACTGATTTGTGAAAAAAATGTAAATGTGCCCGACAAAAATGTTTTGAGAATAAACGTGTGCGAGAAGTTGTCGGTCTTTCGGGGCCCCTTTAGAATGGGGGCCCTGGGCACGGGCCCCGTGTACCCTTATGGTAAAGACGGTATTGTACCTACCTACCTATATATAACATATTTACGTTACTTTAATAATTTAACTAAGAATACATCATATATTTAATTTTCACGAAATTCTAACTGTACTATAGTAGTAATACCACAGAAATAATATGAAAATCTTGATTTATTTCTGTGAGTAAAACAGTTCGACTACAGTACATATTGATTTGAATATTGAAAATGTTCGATGTGATTACAATATTTTAGCCTCTAAAAATTTTCAAACATTAAGGGTAATCAATAAATAATAATGGCGAATACTTTCATAGACATAATGAAGTAGCTAATAATATTAATCAAAAATATGCCCTGAAGTATTGTTTAGTCGATTCTTTTGTACCTTATTACTAATACCAACCACAAACAATTGTTGTAAATCTTAATATTACGGTCACTTAGGACCGATCTGGTATCACGGATGGATTATATTATTGTCACGAATAAACCTGACATTTACATTGAATTAGATATTAATAAATACGAGAATGAGTATAACAGAGGAAGTGTGAAAGTGGCCTCGGTAAACAACAAATTAAGGAGCGGACGGTTAGCGTGGTATGGACATGTGATGCGTAGAGAGAAGATGCATGTGACTAGGAGATGTATGGAAATGGTAGTGCAAGGTAGAGGGGGAAGAGGTCGACCGAAGAAGACATGGATGGAGTGTGTGAATGACGATATGAGAGAGAGAGGAGTGAGTATTGAGATGACGGCTGGTAGAAGAGAATGGAAGAGAAAAAATAGCTGTGCCGACCCCACCTAGTGGGATAAGGTGGAGAAAAAGAAGAAGAAACACGTTCTTCTTCTTTTTCTTCACCTTATCCCCCTTATAAGAACGTGTTTCTTCTTCTTTTTCTCCACCTTATCTTAGTACCTATTAAACTCTATTAAGTTAGAATGCTAAAATAATCTAAAAAACATCTCACCGACGGGCAGTGTCATACGCGAAATAATTAATAAAAAAAAAACAATAACAGTTTAACTTCATGATAGTTTTATACATTTATTAAGTTAGTTAGCTTAGTCAGTTAGGTTAGTTTTTAAACATGACCACGAAGCACGAAAAGCTCTGAAAAAAAACTATTTTAACGATATAGTTTCTTTGGCTGACGATGACGATGGTCATAAAAGACGGACATGGCTACAGACGGGCCATTACTACCGCCGCTTTCGACAAGGCCAATACCAGGGATGTGCGCATATAATTAATAACATATACCACGGTGTGCCATGAGGACCAATGAATCAAACTTTCAAGAACTCCACGTCACAAGATGGCCCGACACCATTTGCCAAGATCAAACACTCAACTTTTTTGGGCATATCATGCTGTATCTAAGGAATAGTCTGGAAAAGCTTCTCGTTCTTGGTCAGGTAGAAGGGAAACAAACCAAAGGCACAAACAATATGCTCAGATACTATAAAGAGAACAGTTGGAGGCAATATCCAGCAGGAGGTCCACCTCGCAGCGGACCGACCTTCATGGAAATACTTGCATACTTATGGTCACGATCCTCAGTAATGAGGGAACGACAAAGAAGAAAAATAAATTTTGTAAGAAATAAATAAATCTAAATAATAAATAAAAATAAAAATAAAAAATCTAAAAAATAAATAAATCTTGTAATAAATCTTGAAAAAGAAATCTACTTAATTAAAATAAATCTTGAGGTTACCGCGTATTTATTTGTCTGTCCTACATACATAAACGGACAAGCTTGATCTTATCAGACAATACGAAGCCTTGATCAATTAAAACGGTCTAACCGGTTTTGAACGAAAACCGTAAAGTATACGAAACGGTGGGAATAACATAAGGAAATTAATAAACCGTAAAAATTGTTTTAATTCTGTCTATGACTCACGTTAACCGAAGGAAACACTCGTAAGACATGATTAAATAGAAATAATGATTCTTCCTTCCTATTCGTACACTCTTGATAGAGTGGTCGTGGTGATGCATCAGTCGAATCCTTCGTTACCGATGCTCTCGCGATGCGACGCCATGTGGCACGGTGTTTCGCAGAGTGAGAGCAATCATTCATGTTGAAGTGAGTCACAGATTTTATGAGGTCGGTCCATCGTGTTGGATATCGTCCGCGAGATCTTTTGCCCTCGACTTTCCCTTGCACCACCAACCGCGCAATGGAGTCCTCATTACGAGTGATGTGCCCGAAGAACTTGAGGATTCGTAATGGTTCTAGTAGCCTTCAAAACAGAACACGTGAGGTTTTACGGCAGACGAGAGGGTGTGACTCGTACGTAATATCATGATTAACATTATAACGCGAGAAGATCTATCTACGCATTGTATCTAGATGCGAAATATTTTGTGCCTTTTAATTATACTAACTTTTCAAACTTTTTGTCCGTACTTTGATAACGTTTTCATACGTGCAGTTTACTTTTTACGTCAGCTGTCACGATGTACGATGACTCATGACACATACAATATTACCTTTCTGAACGACCTTTACCGAGATATCACAATGTTTTAGTTCTCTATACAATTATCAGGGAAAACATACATTGCGTGCTGTAAAGTAATTCATTTGACGCAGCGTATGCGCATTGTGGTATTGCTTTATTATAGTAATGCCACTTTTAGATATAGGCTTCCTGCTGCTCCTATATGAAGAGTTGAGGCCCCTTTTCTTTAAGACACTTAAACCTCGTGTTTCAAGGTTAGTGTCAGCATTCACAATAACTTGTTTGCAGACGAGCATACGGCCCGCCTGATGGTGAGTGGTAACCATCGCTAATGAACGTCAGCAATGCCAGCGGCAGCGCCAAACCGCTGTCTACCGTTAAATATTATCCACAAGCCTCGTTTGAAGAAGGGCATATATAGACATAACGTCGTTGTCAAACCAAAATCTGCTATGTGCACTTTGTGATTTTGAGATTTTTACTTTTTGACCTTTTCGTATAGTTCACAGCCCTATCTACCGTATAAAAAAACTGTTATGTGTCCATAGCTTTAATCTTTATATATAGATTTCATTTGATATAGTTCTTAAAAAATCACCTTCATATAAAATTTTATACGAAAATGTTTTTACTCGTTAATTCAAAATACAGTTTTTGCACATAACAGATTTTGGTTTGACAGCTACGATAAGCTCTTCGACATATCGCTTTTATTGGACCAATAAAAGTTACACAAACACGAGCGATACCCATACATTATTATTACTACGAGCTTGAATACAATTTTGAACAAGCAATGTATAATGCACAAAAGAAATATACGGTTAACAACTGAGAGAAGACTGGTGTCGGATTTGTCCTCAATAGCGCGCAGGCAGTTTAAGATATTCCTTGGCAGCGGCTGTACACGTGCATTGAGTGATATCAGCGCTCGAACCGGTTTCGCAAAAAAAAAAAAAAACACTATTAAATAATACAAAATGGACGACAGGTAAAATGTTGCCCAAAAATAAAAACGTTTTTGTATAAATTTTATCGATCGCGCGAACGTACGTAATTAGCAGTAATGAGTTTTCATTTGTTTTTTTTTTTTAGATGGTTTTCAGTTTAATCGTGGTTTTGGTGGCTTAGAGTCCGGCCGGTTTGTCGGCTGCGGTTATATTTGTGTANACACTATTAAATAATACAAAATGGACGACAGGTAAAATGTTGCCCAAAAATAAAAACGTTTTTGTATAAATTTTATCGATCGCGCGAACGTACGTAATTAGCAGTAATGAGTTTTCATTTGTTTTTTTTTTTTAGATGGTTTTCAGTTTAATCGTGGTTTTGGTGGCTTAGAGTCCGGCCGGTTTGTCGGCTGCGGTTATATTTGTGTAATAAACAATATACCAAAGAGTTACAATGTCGTTCACCTCTATGTAAGTTGCTTGGGCGGTTTTTGCGGAGTTTTCGAATGTATTGCCGCCACTGTTGTTTTATTTTTTAATCCTAACAACAGAAGTTAATTCCTAACATTAATATAAATATTAGATTTGTTTTACTAATAGCAATAACAGGTTGAACGTGCATGCGCATTTGAGATATAACATTTTTAACAGATTAATATGTTTATAAGAATACAATAGATATTAAACTTTAACAGTTTGTAAGTTTAGTGATAATTTACGAATATTGTGACAAATATTGTGTTTGGTAATCATTTAGTATTTTTATCCGCGAGGTGCCGGCGGTAGAGCATACTGAGGTCGCACGGATTAATTTTATTTATTTATTTCACGAGAAATCAGATCTAAGTCTTATTTGTAAGTACATCGGGTTTCTTCGAAGGGAAGACTACTTTGCGGCAGAAATAAGCCGATTGGTGAAATCTATAAGAGTTCACCAATTAGTCATTTTTTTATTTTTTTATTTCCTATACGGGTGAACGAACTCACGGCCCCGCTGGTGTTAAGTGGTTACCGGAGCCTATAGACATTAACAATGTGAATGCCATCGCTCATTGTATCAGGTGGGGACCCTTTAAACCGGAACGCATTACGACTTCTCGGCAGAAATAGACGGGGTTGTGGTATCTACTCGTGCGGATCGCAAGACGCCTTACCACCAGCAATTACGCAAATTAAAAAAAAATTGAGTTTAATTTTTTACAAGTAGCTATATTCCTTCACCGTGGTTTTCGTTCGTGAACATGTGTTAAGTACGTATTCAAATTAATACCTGCGGAGTTCCAACACCGGCACTATCGCTCGATGGGAATGCACCGGGCCTCTTACCCTTCCATCCTTGTATCCTTAAGGCAACGACGACATCATTAAATTATTCATTAATTATAACCATTAATGAAAACCAAAAATACATAAATTATAAAATAAATTCTATCATTTAATCCTCTTGCAGCACCCACACATGCCAGTACAATGAAGAAGACGGTACAATGAGGATGTACCTCCGCGGAAGGCCAGTTGTCCTACACGGGCCCAGTGACCAAGACGGCTTGGACCCCGCGAAGGTCGCGCCCCCACCGCAAAACAAGCTCAAACTTGAATGGGTGTACGGATATAGGTGAGTTTTATTTACTTATTGCATGGTTACTTGAAGAGGCTTACGAGCAACCTAGTGTTTGGTCGTTACCGAAGTCGCTCCACCGTGAAATAAGAGGCTCAATTATGTAGTATAATGACAATCCCAAACGCATTTCTGATTCGGGGAAACAATAGGGCGGTAGTACCTACAATTACGGGATTGCAAGATAGCCTACCACCAGTAAAATTTACAATAGGAATAGGTTAGAGTTAAAATGAATAACGGTAGGCAGCGGCTTGGCTCTGCCCCTGGCATTGCTGAAGTCCATGGGCGACGGTAACCACTCACCATCAGGTGGGCCGTATGCTCGTCTGCCTACAAGGGCAATAAAAAAAAGAAAAGAATAAACAATGATTATCTATCATCCGCCTATTACGGAAGTATTTCAAATAGACGCATTCTTACCTTGTTCCAAATAAACTGACCAACAATAACAAACAAAGAAATGTACAAGTATCATAAGCAAAAGATCGTAAAGGGCACAAGGGTATTTATAAAACTGCACCACGGTCTCCGGATTGGATTCTCGGTCGGATTCAGTCATATTCGATAGACGGATTTCTATAATTCAATCATATATGTACACAGAACGAGCTAATACAGCTAAACTAAATCTAAGCTAAACAGTGTATTAAAAAAAAACAAATGAAAACATGTCTCAATTAATTACGTCAATTATTTACCTGAGAGTTCCGTAAACGTATGAGGATTTTACCGGTATCATCCGGTTTTTCCCCCCTACCTACTCGTTTGTAGCCTAAGGGACTATTCCATCTACACGCGGACGGGTAGGTGAGCTCTCGGGCTTGACCTGAGATCATTTCCTAACACTGGCCCTAGCGAGAGCACCGGATCGCGGCCCACTGACAAGATCCGAAGAGAAACTCAGTGGGTTACTTTACTGCCGAACTCTTCAATATAATCCACAAGTTCAGTGAGGACGGTGACCGGTGCTTGAAGAGTCTAAAAGCAGCTTAAGTGGTTCCGGGAGAACCGACAAGACATCTTTCGGGCGACGGTGGCTTTGCGTTGCCCTATCGCTTGAGTCGAATATAAAAATTAGCACCAGTGTAGTCATAGCCGTCATTGCGAAAAGCGCAATATATTGTAATAAATACCCCCTACCAGAATCAAAACTGAGCTTTACTTTAGAAAGCCTGGACTGTGGTCCAGCCCTTAAAAAGTATCCGATAGGCCTCTTTAAATTTGCACATGTAATTCCAAACAATATTCAAACGATCGTCTGTCGAGGAAAAAAACCCACTCAAATGGAATTTATTTTATTTATTTATTTATTTAATCAACAATGTTTCAACAGCATTTAACTAGACACAGGGTACAGAGGATGTTTTCCCAAACATCATTTTATATGGCTGGAATATCTCTGCTCATAATTTTCGCCAAACTTTCAATCCAAAATTGAGAACGAAAAGCGCAGCAAAATCATCTCTATAATACAGAAAAATATTTTTCATTCGGTAATGTTCAATTTGAACGGTTAAAATCATGGACATCCAAGCTCTAACAGTTCTGTGGATGTATACGACAAAGGGAAGATCTTCCACCGAGCGGGTGATATTGCTCGGTAGACCGACGGTCCGAATGATGTTGTTCGGAACATGTATATATCCAGACTAGCTGTACCCGTCTGCTTCGCTGGGCATTTAAAATTAACATTATTATTTCTCACACCCACAAATATTCTCATCATTAACGCCCCCGCAACTGGTGTAGGGAGTCCAACACTCATGTAAATATTAGCCTATCCATTAAGTACATGTATTTTCTACATGGATACCAAGTTTCATGTCAATCGGATACATGGTTCAGTAATTGTAACGGAACATCCGTAAAACCACTGTAGATTTATATATTAGTATAGATTTATCTTGAAAATCTCCTAAGCGAGATTCAGGCATCTGCCAAATATCTTGTGCTGTATCATAAGTAGCCGCCACAGTTCCATAACGATAAAACATTAATAAGAACTCCCCGCGTTAGGTATATCGATCCAATTTTCAAGGTCACAGGACCGGCCAACTAATGTTCAATAATGCAGATCAATTAGTATTAACATTTTCCTTAGTTTTTCATTTTTACCCCTTGGTAAATAATCGGAAACTAGTCAAATCTACTCAAAGAATTCTAAATATTCAAGTTTGTGTGTGATTTAAATATTACAAAAAGAGCAACCTGCATTCCGGATTGTATCGATTTAATACCGTCATTAAAGGCCTAATCAAATCAAAGAGCATTATGATTGCGTGCATTGTATCATCTACACGCTCTGACAACATCTTGCAACGATTAGACATTGAATTCGCAAGTAAATTTGTAAACAAAGATCCAATTAAAGCTAGGTTTATTTAGCGGAAACACAATTTGATAAAGTTGAGGGACTAAGCCAATTTTTTTAATAAGATATTTGGTCAGACCATTCCATTGCAAAATTTATTGTATGTGTATGTAAGTAATTTAATATTGTAACATATATTACTATTATTTAATAATATATTCAAAAGTTTGGTCTATCTTGAGAGACTTTTCTGAATATAGTTAGACTTAGAACATTAACATTAGTAGTCTCTCTCTCTCTCTCGCAATTATTAATATAATTTAATTTTGCAATCTATACTAATATTATAAAGAGGAAAGATTTGTTTGTTTGTTTGTATTGAATAGGCTCTGAAACTACTGAACCGATTTGAAAAATTCTTTCACTGTTCGGAAGCTACACTATTCCCGAGTGACATAGGCTATAATCTTTTTGAAAAAAATTAGGGATCCTTACTAAAACACCAATAATGTAACCCAAGGTGTAAATAAATTACCTAAAATATTCTTTACATCGCGTGCCCTGCGAAAACTATTGATGATAAAATAAAATAATGTACTTTACAAAAAGTGTAGCGACAGCATATGTCTAACTAATAAACTAAAGCTGCAATAAGTCTTCTTTTATTTAAAAAAAATAAAACAACGTCAAATATCATTGAAATTTTTGTTAAAGACCCGAGCGGAGCCGGTTCGGGCCGCTAGTATCATTATATATGTTAAAACTTCAATAACATCAGCGTGACCGTGAGTGTAATGTATTATTTACGTTCGGGAATTTAATTCGTAAAAAATGGGTTCGTTCGCGCAAAATAAACATAGACGATGTATTTAATTAATTACTTAAAGAGATTATTAATTCCATTAAAAGCGTGCTGGGACTTCTATATCACACATATAATTGATGAAAGTCAAAGTGTCGCAGACGATGTGTTTCAGACATTAATATTTTTTATATACTTGATTACTAGATTTCTCTGCGGTTGCGGTTGGCTGATTAAAATGAAAAGTTGTAGATATGGTACATATCAATGAAATCATTACCATTTACATCATCATTCATCATTTAATTTACTGGTGGTAGGACCTCTTGTGAGCTCGCACGGGTAGGTACCACCACCCTCCCTATTTCTGCCGTGAAGCAGTAATGCGTTTCGGTTTGAAGGGTGGGGCAACCGTTGTGACTATACTGAGACCTTAGACCTTGTATCTTAAGATGGGTGGCGCATTTACGTTGTGGATGTCTATGGGCTCCAGTAACCACTTAACACCAGGTGTGCTGTGAGCTCGTCCACCCATCTAAGCAATAAAAATAAAAAATATAAATAAAATTATAGAGACAGTCTACTAGACAGTTTATTTTGTAAGCTCAATTAACCTTAAAAAGTGCTAATTCAATATAGACTACCTCAAGATTACGTTTGATTTAACTGGATTTCAAGCTATTTACATAATCTTTGACGCCTAATATCTTAATCTGAAAATGATTGCTTGGTCAATTATACTTGAAAACAAATTACCATTGAAAGCTTTGAGTAAGCTTCGGTGGCGGATTGTGTGATGGAAAAACGGAGAACGGGATCAATGAAATTCCCAGGGTACTCCTGCTGATCAACTATATGTGTTCAACTCATTGTGTGATTAACCAATTGAGTCGGACGCCAATTGACTTTAACCGCCCACGTGGCGATTAGTGATGGGGATTTTACCAAAATTAAAGGCAATTCGCCGAGTATGACCAACGTAAAATGCTATAACAATTAGATCAGTATTATAGTAAATTTATTGATCTTATTGTGGTGTAGGTCAAAATAATTTGTACCGTGTGTCTCATAAGCGCTCCCTCAATCTATCGTGAGTTAAAATGAAAAACTGTTTTATATAATACTAGCTGGCCCGGTAAACGTTGTTTTGCCATATAAATTATTTCTAGGAAAAATAAATAACCTAGATATCGACTGCAGCGCCATCTGCCGGGCTGATTTGTAAATCTAAACCATTCTCGAATCCATCTGAAGGTACACAGAAAATTTCATTAAAATCGGTGCAGCCGCTTAGGAGTTCAGTGACAAACGCACGCACAGAAGAAATATATATATATATATAAAGATAAGAGAAAATAAGGTTCCTCTAATTACTGTAGTATTATGGGTTGGGAAAGCCTTGCTTCGCGGTATAAGTAGTCAGTTTGGCGGGGCCTATCAATGCCAGCTCTCAATTATTTCGTCTTTTATACTGTAAATAGTACTCATTCGATACTAGTAAACCGGGACGTCAAATTTAGATGCTTTGGTATTTTAAAACTGAAAACAATGTCCCGTATCAATAGTCAGTCACAGCGTCACGTATTGCGAGTATTATGTTAAATGCTGATAAAAAAAAAAACTGTGAGCAATGATAATCAACAGGATAAATTTGTCGAATATTTACAAATATTTTTATATCTGATTACAATATTTGTAACTAGCGACCCACCCTCGCTTCGCTTCGAGAACTCTAATTTACACATAACAAATAGATATAGGCCGTTTTCCAATTACAGCACAAGAGCGCATTATGCGGCATAATGCTTTGGGAATTGGAAATTGGAAAACTACCAGTAATGGTTAATTACAGAGCATAATGCGACTCAGTGACGCACAATGCCGAATTTTGCTGAAGCTTAGTTGAGCATTATGCCGCATAATGCGCTCTTGTACTGTAATTGGAAAACGGCCATATGCTGTTACGTTTTGTAGGACTATAATTTAAGATAAACATTTCCATTATAGCACATGTTACTTCAACAGTTTTTGTGGCGCACAACAAAATAAGTCGCAGATGGCATTTTTTTCCTACTTACTTGACACTTATCTTTATATGTTCATACCACACTAGGTATATCTTTATAAATTATAGCCTATGTTTTATTCTGATCTGTAAGCTATATTATTGTAAAGCTTCATCAAAATCTGTTTAATAGTTTTTGTGTGAAAGAGTAACAAAATACATCCATATATTCTTACACAAACTTTCACGTTTATAATATTAGTAGGATTATGTTATATTTCACGAAGCCGCAAACTATACTAAAAGCAGTTCTAAGACGACCCCTCCCCCCGCGGTACTCGAGGTCACTGCCCGACACAACAGCTGATGTTTTCAAGCGCCTTCCATTGCGTGCAGTGCAAAAATCATTCTCGATCGTAGGCAGCGGCTTGGCTCTGCCCCTGGCATTGCTGAAGTCCATGGGCGACGGTAACCACTCACCATCAGGTGGGCCGTATGCCCGTCTGCCTACAAAGGCAATAAAAAAATTTATAACGCCATTATGAACACTGACAACCTATTCGTGTTATGCAACACTTTCTCCACTATCATCATCATCATAATCGGTTGCTCTTGGCAGAGCAGTCGTAGTCATGTGGAATTCTTGCTTATTAAAGCCTTGACAGATGTTTTCCATAGTTTACGAAACGAGGCCCGGCGCACACACTCGTTAAGTGTGTACGCCGGTCCTCAGTAAGGTCTTTCACCTGATCAGTCTAGCGCATGGGGATTCGTCCACGAGATCTCTTACCATTGACCCTACCCTGAACAACAAGTTTCTCGATAGACTCTATATTCTCCACTATAGACTGCTCTTATTCGCAAGTGCATTGAACATACCATGCCGACTTCACACCTTTTACCTAATTCGGGTGCCGTAAAATGAAGCCATTGTTTCGATAAAGAGCGTCTGTGGGACTGGTATAACTAAATCAAGGTCGCTTTTTGTAACTTAACGGTTGGTCAGTCAACCTCGAAGCGAGATTAACCAATGGACTTACGTGGTTTTTACGAAAATCCAAATTCAGTTGCACTAATTTTTCGGATTTACTTTCGGTTTTATTCATCGAGATCCATAAGCAAGCACGTTTCAAAAAATTCTATTTGTCCCTTAACTATGAACTTTAAAAATTATTACATGACGGTAGTCAGCATTCGTATTCGAATAAAATGACCAAGAGTGTCGTTGTGAAGAAGAACATTTTATTTTATAGAAAAAAAATATAGTAATGTTTCTCGAGTTCGGTATCCAGCCTTCAACTCAACTAAAAGACGAAACAAATCACAACAATGTTCAAAACTTTATGGCAGCCCCAATTAGTGGGAGTAGTGTGAAGAAAAGATTATTCATAGACGGTGTAGCATTGTTGCCGCCGCGGATAACTCCCCGACTAAGGCTCACGGAGAAGCCAGTGTCGACGCTCTAGACATGTCCTTACGGATCACTCTGATCCATTAACACCATTATTAGACACTTGCAACTCTAGCACCAGGAGCAGGGTTATGGACTTTGGTAGCTGTACTCGTCGAACATGGCCGCTGAGTTTCTCGCCGGATCTTATCATCGGGTCGCGGTTCCGATCCGGTAGCAGATATATTCGCGAAGCAACTGACCTAGAGCTACTAGGTCAAAAAAAGACAATGTAGCGTTTAATTTAGAAACATTTTATTTTAATTCGAAGCATTGGGTCCCCTTGTATAAATAACAATTATTTAAAGTTAGTAATTATTGCTTATTCTTTGCCGAAATCTAGTCCAATAAGTACATGGTCTTGTAGTTCTAAATTACCCGAGACTCCTGTTCTTATTTTATGATATAATTATTATTTTATATTTGTCAATATATAAACACACTAGCTGTACCCGTCCGCTTCGCTGGGCATTTAAAATTAACAATATTATTTCTCATCCCCACAAAGATTCTCATCATTAACGCCCCCGCAACTGGTTTAGGGAGTCCAACACCTATATTAATATTAGCCTATCCATTAAGTACATGTATTTTTTACATGGATACTAAGTTTCAAGTCAATCGGATGCATGATTCAGTAGTTATAACAGAACATCCGTAAAAACCACTGTACATATATTAGTATAGATAGGCCTAAAATACGGATTAAATTCTGGAATTTATATATATTGCGTTTTTACATTGTTAAAGTAATTAGAATCATGAATTCTACCTAGTACCTATTTAAGTTGCCACTAAATAATTCAGCACGCAATTACATATTTTGAAACCAGACCAATAGGTTCACACGCGGCGAACCCACATTTTTCCCCAAGGTCTCTGTTATCGCAGTTGTAAATACGGCACAAATAACTAATTTGGTTGTGTTAATTTAGTCTATTAATAATAATTAACATACTAATTTAAAATACTTATTAATTAGTGAACAAACATAATTATCATTTTTCAATATAGACTTCGATCACGTAATTCGTATTCACATTTTTCACATTTACGGGTAAAAAAGCAAACAAAAATATCACTGCTTTGGTTTCAATGGCATTTCAAGCCGAGAATCCAATTGGATACGTGAATTAAATAACTTTCAAAACGATTGTGATAATAGTAATCATATACCTGACATAAGCTTCTAATACTCTAAATATATTTACTATTTATGAACTAAGTCTCGATTGTGATTGGGAGTTCACAAATGTACATACAAATTTTAAATTAGCGTAAATTTTCAAGGTCGACATTCATCCATGCTTCAGTAGACAACAGTAATGATGCATTCAAACTGACCCGATTGAAACGGATTAGTCAGCTTTTGAAATTAGATTTGGTTTTGTATTTTTTTTTTTTGTATTACATTGTGTTCGAAAATCCAATATGGGTGTGACAGAAACGTACAAACCGTTTTGGCTCCGCGATTAGATTGTCCGCTTTATTATCCAGTTATGTTGACTCATACAAGTGCTTTGAGTGACGCGTTATAAAAAAAATGACCTTTCACTGTACCTACAAACATAATGTAAGTAATATGTACCATAGTGTCTCAATCTGTTTGCCTTTTAAGCTATTGCATAGTTTTTATTGCTGGCTTTGAGCGCGGCAACCGAATCAAGAAATTCCGTAACGAAAAAACCTTACACCCCTCCGCCTACCATGTAGCTCGCGTTCAACACATTCACACGTTGCGCTTGTGTAGTGTTTGTGAATAAGCGCGTGGCGTGACGTCACACTGCATGCGCATCATGAAAAGTCTGCCCATCTCTCTCTCGCGCGGTCTAGCTTATGAGTGTGAAGGGGACAGTTAATGTTTTGCTTTTATTAATGTTTAATATAGGGTGGTCTTGTTTTATTATTGTTTTAATATTAAATTATCATTGTCCAATTATAATTGCATAAGTTGATAAAAAATGCTATGCAATAGCTTTACCGCGGCAGTTCCCGCGTGCCACACGTCCTTTTTTTTATCACTCACAGTGTTAATTACTTTCATTTTACATTTTTATTCTTTTTGATTACTGAATAATTTCCGCGGCTACCTAAGAATAAGGTTTTATTTGTCGTACTCTATCACTACGTTTACATTACGTTCCGTTTACGTTAAATATATTTGCGTTTTTAGGCCGAATTAAGAGGATTTAAGGTATAAAACAAGCCTCAACCATCTTACCTATTCCAATAAAAAATTCATGTCGTCTAATTGACTTCCACGGCGAAGGAATAACATAATGTAATAAAAATCAAACCCGCATAATTATAATTTGCGTAATTACTGGTGGTAGGACCTCTTGTGAGTCCGCACGGGTAGGTACCACCACCCTGCCTATTTCTGCCGTGAAACAGCAATTTCGAATATTTTTGGAAATTGTACACTTATAATGCGAAAAGACGATATAAGTTTAGGGACATGCGCTACAAGATGTCCCTAGTTTCTATACAAACAAAATTTTTTTTTTAAAGTTTCATAGTTTCTGGGCCCTGGTTCGATATTTTACCGGTATCAACGATTCTCATTACAGAGGCAAAGACTGCAGGAGCAACCTATATCTCCTGCCCACCGGCGAGATCGTGTACTTTGTTGCATCGGTCGTGGTGCTATTCAACGTGGAGGAGCAATGTCAGAGGCATTACACCGGCCACACCGATGACGTCAAATGCTTGGCGGTTCACCCTAACAAGTTGATCGTGGCCAGTGGCCAGTGCGCCGGCCACGACCGGGTTGATGCTAGGGTGAGTACACTCTTAGTCTATGCCTTAGAGATTTCGATATTGGTCTTTCCTCTTGTAGGACAGAAGATTTTCCACCGAGCAGGTGATATTGTTCGGTAGACAGACGCTAACTATATTTGAGACCTTAGAATTTATATCTTGCGGTAGGTGGCGGCTTGGCTCTGTCCCTGGTATTGCTGAAGTCCATGGGCGATGGTAACCACTCACCATCAGGTGGGCCGTTTGCTCGTCTGCCTACAAGAGCAATAAAAAATGGTGGGTGGCGCATTTACGCTGTAGATGTCTATGGGCTCCAGTGACCACTTAACACCAGGTGGGCTGTGAGCTCATCCACCCATCTAAGCAATAAAATAAAAAAGACGGTTCGGAAACTTATCTTTAAAATGCCGTAAGCGAGATTCAGGCATCTGACAAATATCTTATGTTGTATGATGGCTACCCGCCAGACTCTCACTAGTGTGGTGTAAGGATGGATTCTTAAAGACCCTATGCAAAAAATATTGACTGAGAGTCAAACGACGCTTAACAACCCTACACTTCTGAGTCCGATTTAAACACTTTTTGTACTATTAATTTTTTTGTACTAATAAAAAGTCTACTGTGTGCCTAAAGTGTACACTTTAGAACATAAGACTAAATTATTTGAGGAAACTTACTATCAATTCTGTTTGTGAGTTTAATAATCATTACAAAAAAGTTATTCTGTGGCATCGTGGCTCTGGACAGATGCACCGATTTTAATTCGGTTTTCAGTTGAACTTAGTCCCAGTTGAATTAACATAACCCTTTATACGTTAAGGGTTATTTGGTAGTGATTGGATTTGAGGGTGTTAAAGTCGCTGTATGTGTTTGTATATGCACAGCCTCATGTCCGCGTGTGGAACTCCGTGTCTCTGGCGACGCTGGCGGTGCTGGGCGCCGGGCAGGCCGAGCGCGGCATATGGGCGGTGGCGTTCTCACGAGCGGACGGCGGCTCGCTGCTCGCTGCCATACACGACGCGCCCGACCACGTCATCTCTGTGTGGGACTGGCAGAGGTCGGACAAGGGACACTGCCTAGCCGAAACCAAGGTTTGTCATCATAGTGTTTTTTGGCGTTTTATAATGACATAAATACTGATGAAAACTGCACGCACGAAAAAGTGTCACGTTCCGCCTGACCGTGTAAGGGAGAACGCGGAACAAGCGATACAGAGGTACGATTGTCTGTGACACATAAATCTCTCTTCTCATGTGACGTTATATATATAATATCATCATATAGTTCGTAAACCGACTTTACAAACGACCAATTATGTATATTTTTTTTAGTCATTATTTAATTAGAGATCAAACCGAAATGTATTACTGCTTCACGGCAGAAATAAGTCATGACTCACAACACGTGCTACCACCAGTAATTACGCAAATTGTATTATTTGCTGATTTGATTTTTATTACACGATGTTATTCCTTAGCGGTGAACATTTCACGGCTCAACCACTCGACCTTTAATCCAGAAAGAAACCGCTATTCACGAGCGATTTTCATTACGCTGACACGATGTGAAACTGCCCCTAAATACATGCGATATGGTTATAAATATATAAACGGTCCATGGTCGTGTTCACCGCCAGTGCTCCGTGGACACGGTGGTCGCGGTGGAGTTCCATCCGCTCGACCGGAACCAGATAGTGACGTGCGGCAAAAACCACATCGCCTTCTGGACGCTGGACCAGACCAACGTGCTGTACAAGAGGATGGGGATCTTCGAGGCCCGCGACAAGCCCAAATACGTCACCTGCCTCGCCTTCAACCACAACGGTGAGTCGCCCGACTGTACTAAGACCTATGAACCATTGTACCATGGTTCACTTGCGGACTAAATAATAATAATAACTAGAGGTCCCGCAGTAGTCGAAATTCGACTATAATTAATTGGAATTGTAAGTTTGTACACTATTATGATTGCATTTTATACTTCTATAATCACAAATTTCGCCAAGACTACACTATAAAAAATATTAACAAAGACAAACAATATTTAATCTATTCTCAATTTGACAACAGACGTAAAGAACAAAAGTTTGACAATAAATAGTATGCATGCGTGTGTGCGTCAAATACATGGTATGTAGTGTGTGCAATGTTTTCTTTATTGATTTAATGTATCTTTTATGCATTATTTAAAAAAATTATTAGCTTTGTGCACTTCTTCTTTATATTCTCTATAAGTGTGAAAATTTTCATACTCCTCCGTCCGCGCAATTTTCGTAAAAAGGGTTACAAAGTTTTTGCTTCACGTATTAATATATAGATAATGGTTGGTTGCGAAGTAAGTACCAGTTGAATGGAATATTTGAAATGTATTCTTCTTCGTCGCTTTCTTCATTACTGAAAGTCGTGTCTCTGAAACTTGACCGTGGCCTGTCTCGTGAGCTGTTTCCATCTCGTCCGGTCCTCAGCTTCTCGAATGGCGGTTGCGACTGGCAACCCAGTTAGAGCGGTTACTTGATGACACCAACGGCTAGGTAATCGGCCGTGGGGTCTCTTTCCTTCTACTTTGCCCGTCACAATCACTTTGTCCAAGTTATCTGACTGTCAGCGGGCAATATGACCGAAGTAACTGATATTATATGATAATGAAATGTATTCAACTGATAATTATTTTTAATAAATGTACCTTTCTTATTTGATTGGTTTTGTTAATTTTAAGTATGTTTCAATAATACTATTTACACATATGCAACTCGTTGTTGTCTAAAATAAAATAAATCATTTATAACCTTTGATTCGTCCACAAAATCGGAAACTGTAAATTTTATTACATTCTTTAACGAATTGTTTTGGATTTTTTTTTTATTCGTTTGCAGAAAAACACAAATCGTCGCTCTCTTCCATTCGATTAATTAAATAATGCACACTCCCAAATTCGTCGATGCTTTCGTTTTAGCCTCCGGCTTCTTCGACGTAACAAAACCAACAGCAGTGTTTCCTCATTGGAATCTATTTTATTACTGAGTGACTAGAGAGACCCTTAGATGGGTAGACGAGCTCACAACCCACCTGGTGTTAAGTGGTTACTGGAGCCCATAGACATCTACAACGTAAATGCGCCACCCACCTTGAGATATAAGTTCTAAGGTCTCAGTATAGTTACAACGGCTGCCCCACCCTTCAAACCGAAACACATTACTGCTTCACGGCAGAAATAGGCGGCGTGCTGGGTGCTACCTACCCGTGCGGACTCACAAGAGGTCCTACCACCAGTAATTACGCAAATTATAATTTTTGGGATTTGATTTTTATTACACGATGTTAGTCCTTCACCGCAGAAGTCAATCGTGAACAAAAATGTTGTCAGAACGTTGCAAAAATGTTGCTTAAACCAAATACCCTTTGACGGGTCGATATAGTATTTACAACAGTGTGTGGGTGGTTGTGATGACGCAGGCGATGTGCTGTCTGGCGACTCGAGCGGCAACCTGACGGTGTGGGGCCGCGGCACCAACACGGTGCAGCGCCTCGTGCGCGCCGTGCACGACGGGCCCGTGTTCAGCGTCGCCTGCCTCAAGCACGGCGCCGTGCTGTCCGCCGGCGGGAAGGACGGCCGCATCGTCATGTTCGACGCCGACGTCAACCCCACCGGCCTCGAGAATGTGGTACGCACACCGACTGCAGCCTGACAGTAGACCGACAGTAGATTTACAGCAGGCCGCCAGTAGACCGATAGCAGGACAACAGTAGACCGACAACAGGCCGACAGTAGACTGACAGTCGGCCGACATTAGGCTGACATTAGGTCGACTGTAGACCGACAGTAGACCAACAACAGGCCGACAGTAGATTGACAGTCGCCTGACAGTAGACCGACAACAGACCAATAGTAGACTGACAGTCGGCCGACAGTAGATCGACAGCAGGCCGATAGTAGATTGATAGCAGGCCAACAGTAGACCGACAGTAGGTCTACTGTCGGTAACTCTGAAATACATTTTTTTATTATTGCTTAGGTGGGTGGATTAGATCACGGCCCACCTAATGTTAAGTGGTTACGGGAGCCTATAGACATCTACAATGTAATTACCGCCACCTGCTTTGAGAATTGAGTTCTAAGGTCTCAGTTTTTATAGTACAAATTGCTGCAAATGGGTAATAATCCACTGAGTTACTGAGATCTCTTCAGGGGGTCGCTGTTACGATCCGGTGGTAGATTCAGCGAAACGCCACTCTTACTTAGGGTTAATGTTATTCAAATTCAACAACAAATTCTCTCAGCCTGAGCTCCGTGAGCTCACCCATCTAACTAAAAAAGTGTTAAGCAAAATGAGTTTTATACAGATCGAGGGTCACTATGGGGGCGTGCGAGTGCTGGCGGAGGGGCGCGGCAGCCAGCTGTACGTGGGCACCACCAAGAACTGCATCCTGCACGGAGACCTGGAGCTCGGCTTCTCCCCGGCCGTGCTGGGTCAGTAGCCACCTCGCTGCTACTGCACTGTTATCATATCAGATGTTTTTTTTGACGAGTAAACATGTAAAGCTGTTGTATAAACAGTATATTGAACATAATACTGCTGGGACAACAAATGTGAGAGTGAAAGGGAATTCATGAGCAATACTTGTGTTAGAAAGAGAGCCATCATCAACAAAAAAATTTGAAGAACGTAAATTCAATATGAACCAGAGGCCTAAATGTGTTAAGAATATAAAAAAAAACGTTTTTTTTTTATTGCCTTTGTAGGCAGATGAACATACGGCCCACCTGATTGTGAGTGTTTGCCGTCGCCCACGGACTTCAGCAATGCTAGGGGCAGAGCCAAGCCGCTGCTTAATTGTTTGAATAATGAAAAAGAATGTTGAGCTGTTGAATGACGTATTTGCATTACATGGCGTGTTCCCGCAGGCCACGTGGAGGAGGTGTGGGGGCTGGCGGCGCACCCGTCGCTGGCGTGGTTCGCGTCGGCCGGCTGGGACCGCCTGCTGCAGCTCTGGGACGCGCTCAGCCACTCCACCGTCTGGAGCAAGGACATCGAGGTCACCCACCACCACATCACTCCACACACAAATTAACGTCTACCGTCTAAAAGATTTTAATTAAATTAATCGTTCATTCATACATTGTTATGCTGAATTTTGGACATTTGACTGAATATAAAAATGATCTTTATTTTCAGAAAATGCTTTCAAACAAATTTTGATATTGAACTTTTTTTACTTAACTAAAGTAGTTTTCCAATTACAGAGCATAATGCGACTCAGTGACGCACAATGCCGAATTATGCTGAAGCTTAATTGGAACGTGAATTAGTTTTCAAATGCATCAACAGAGTGCGCTAAGTTCATGATTTTTTTTTTTTTTTTTTCCTACCTAAGCTGATAGCCCTAGCGGCTATTTCAGCGTAACCCTAACTTTAGTAGGTGAGCTCACGGGGCTCAAACCTGACGATGTTGCTAACACGAACCCTAGCAAGAGTCGTGCTTCGCAGAATCTACCACCGGATCGGAAACGCGACCCACTGAGAAGATCCGGCGAGAAACTCAGTGGGCTGTGTCTGAGAGTTAATTTGCTCGTCGAGCCCTTCGTCGCAAGCGACGGGTTCGACGAGAACGGTGACCGGTGCTTGAAGTACCTAAAAGCACCGTTAGTGGATCAGGAGGATCCGAGATGACGTGTAGTTCATGATGATGATTCGACCAAGCCATTGCAATGTTTACAAAAGTATATTCCTGTAAAATAAATTTGTTTACAGATTCGAATTCTAAAATGAAATTGTATTCACATTTTCAATGTGGAATATAAAAAAAAAAAGTCATTATTTGTACCTTCATCCATACTTATATTTATTTTTTTAGCCCAGTTTGAATTAACTTTTGATTATTTCCAAGAAATAACGACGAAACGAAAGTCTTACAAATTTTTTCAACAATAAATAATATTACTAACGATAATATAAACAAAATTTCGATCAATGCCAACTTAAAGAAAAAACACTTTTCAATTTTCTGTCACTGAGTCGGTATCGATTGCGAGTATCACGCGAGAGCAGTACTTTTGAGAGTGCTCGATTGTGCTTCGAGTTGCTGTAGTTGGAACATTCAACGTTGAGCATTATGCCGCATAATGCGCTCTTGTGCTGTCATTGGAAAACTACCTAACTATATTTAGAAATCTCGGTCGATTAATTAAATAGAATAATTAATTCAATAAAAAAACTTAAAGATTGTCGCGTTTATTAAACAATACTTGAAAACATAGAAGATGATAAAAAAATCTCACAGCTACCCTCTGAAGTTAAAATACCAAACTCACAACAATATTACTGAATGTAATCAAATAAATTTTGTGTCACCTAACGCTAAGCCAGAAATTACAAGACATGACGCCACGTCCCTAATCGTTGTATAATCTGTGCCCCACCGATTGCAGAACTACTAACTCTGTCTGGCTGCACTACGGAAGCTCGGCTCGATTCCCGGTCGCAGACCGTGCTTATGAACAATATTATATATCCGGGGGCAGCTTATTCTTATTCTCTATGATATCTATATATTAATACGTGAAGCAAAAACTTTGTACCCCTTTTTACGAAAATTGCGCGGACGGAGGAGCATGAAATTTTCCACACTTATATAGAAAAGGAATGCAGAATGCTAATATTTTTTGTAAACTATGCATTAATAAAACATTAAATCAATAAAGAAAAAATTAACACACATTACCATGTATTTGACACACATACATATATTTTATACTCTTTGTTTATTGTCAAACTATTATTATATTATACAGTCTGTGGTCAAAATGAGAATAGGTTAATATTGTTTGTCTTTAATATTATTTGTCTATAGCGAAATCTGTGATTATAGAAGTACAATAGTCTATGACAATAGAACCTTAATAATGTTCAAACTTATAATTTCAATTAATTATAGTCAAATTTCGACTACTGCGGGACCACTAGTAGGATTAAATGTTTTGGGCTTGTCAATGTAAAGCATTATCCCCAAATGACGTGACACGTAATGACGTGTGTGCGTGCGCAGGAGCGGGCGCAGTGCGTGNATCTGTGATTATAGAAGTACAATAGTCTATGACAATAGAACCTTAATAATGTTCAAACTTATAATTTCAATTAATTATAGTCAAATTTCGACTACTGCGGGACCACTAGTAGGATTAAATGTTTTGGGCTTGTCAATGTAAAGCATTATCCCCAAATGACGTGACACGTAATGACGTGTGTGCGTGCGCAGGAGCGGGCGCAGTGCGTGTCGTGGTCGGCGGACGGCGCCGTGCTGGCCGTGGGATGCCTGTCGGGGCGCTGGCTGGTGCTGGACCCGCACTCGCGCGACGTGCTGGCGCAGCACCAGGACGGGTAATGTGCACATACTCATCTAGAGACATACATCAATACGTCATACGTCTTCTCGCATTCAAACTGTATAACCTCAAAACTTACTAATTTTGCAGGAAAGTGTTTTAAAGGTTTTACATATAATATCTATACTAATATATAAATCCACATTGGTTTTTACGGATGTTCCGTTTTAACTACTGAACCATGCATCCGATTGACTTGAAACTTGGTATCCATGTACAAAATATATGTACTTAATGAATAGGCTAATATTTATATGAGTGTTGGACTCCCTACACCAGTTGCGGGGGCGTTAATGATGAGAATCTTTGTGGGGGTGAGAAATAATAATGTTAATTTTAAATGGCCAGCAAAGCGGACGGGTACAGCTAGTCTTTAATATGAATCATCTTGCAACATTTATTTTTATTTTGTACCAGTTACATCTGTCTTTTAAAGATAAAATTATGTATTAATTTCGATAATAGTAATCAAAACATAGGTAAACAAAAAAAAACTAAAACTAAAACTAAACTATGCTCTTTTGACAGTATTTATGGGAAAAATACAGGAGATACCAAATGTTTCCACATATTAACTCAATTTCGAATATCTTTGGAAATTGTACACGTTTAATGCGAAAAGGCGATATATAAAACATTATTATTTAGTAAATTACGTTATTTATATTTAAAATTTAACCGTGAAAGCTATGTTTGCTCCTTATTACTACTTATGAAAGCAACACTATCGTGTTACGTCTGTTTGACAGACACAGCCCACTGAATTTCTCGCCGGATCTTCTCAGTGGGTCGCGTTTCCAATCCGGTGGTAGATTCTGCGAGCACTGCTCTTGCTAGGGCCAGTGTTACCAACATCCACAGATTAGAGCCCCGTGAGCTCACCTACTAGCTCTGTGAATCTAGCATAAACCCCCGAAGTTACAAGAATAGGAAGAAAAAAAAAAAACAAAAAAAGTACATCTGTAAAAGTCCTAAGAAGACTTCTTTATTTTATGCGGGTACATAGCGGTTCGTGTGCTCGTGAAAGGTCATTAACCCGGCGTGTCACTACTTGTGTTAATTTCCAGTTCTGAGCCGATCCAAACAATCCAGTACTCGCCGGACAACAAGATGGTCGCCCTCGGCTCCCGGGACAACTTCATATACATTTACCGGGTCGAAGACAACGGCGCTAGGTACAGTCGCCTCGGAAAGTGTTTGGTAAGATTTCATTTTGTTTTCAATTCTTTTTTTAAACTCCATAGATTTGTAAATCTTAGGGAAATAAATATTATAATGATATCACTAACATTACTTTTAAGTATGAATCTCGAATTTGTTTTCCTCGTGTTATTATTTCGGACCAGATACTCGACATTTGAATATTATGTTAACTACCCTCTTATTTCCTATAAAAGTATTTTTAATTATGCTAGTCGTGAAAACCGCAATACTATTGTAGAAATTACTATAACCATTATCATTACACATTATGTGTTCCATGCGTTTCTAGTGTACGGAGAGAAAACGTAGAAGGGTAAAAATGATCTAATTGTTGGACCACTAGTGCCTTCTGTAACAAGTAGAGACAGGAGTACCACGCGAGCGCGCTGCCAGACACGGTCTGACCTCGGAGTGTCCTTAGCACGAAGGGCGCTCCCAGGATACCCTGTGCTTGTATAGTTCCGCCCACATCAATATCTCTTTGAGAAAGGAGGGTTTATATGAAGGGACTAGGGTTGCCACTTTTTTTGCAGATAAAATACATTAGTTATTATAAATATAATAGGTGGAAAAAAAGGACATCGTATTGAAATAGATTGCAATTTATGTTTTATTATTATTATGTTTAAATACACATTCTTTTATTACAACTGAATAAATTGAACAAGAAATTGTGACAATTAATGACAGTGACATTGTTGACATTTGAGGTTAAGTTGTGTTCAGAAATATTTGTTAAAAAACGAGTGCTTAAGTGATGTTGCGTTGGCGAGTGGCGAAATCGATTGAGCAATCGATGTATTTCGCTTAACGAAAAAACACATATTACGAAAATTTTCAAAATCCCACAGAAACCAAATCGTGCCAAATAAAGTATTATATTTTCGTGCTTTACCTGAAAATTACGTACAATACATTATATTATAAAGTACTGGTGGCAACCCTAGAAGAGACCTCCGTTATCGTAGAGTCCCTCGGCAAAACGCCAAACAGAATACCGCTATGATACGGCGGGTGAACTCAAGTTATAAATAGGCTTGTTATTAACAGTCATATTATCGTGTTAACATCAACAATGAATTCGTATGTAAGGGGTTCAGTGACGTCATCACTGTCGAACATTGCAAGTGAATTTTCAAATTAAACTCTTATTACAACCACTACAGACAAAAAATTGTAATAAAACTGGCTTGTGTTGTACTTCTGTCGCTTTAAAAGTAGACGCGTAGAACATATCGCACACCCGCAGTATTTAACGCTTCGGATTCAAAACAAAACTCCAACTTCCATAACCGTTTACTAATTATAATTAACCCTTTGACTGCCGTATAGGTCACCTGTGCCCTACGCGGCGCACTGAATTAATCATGTCGATGTTTGATACTGAGGGCCTGAATTGCCTAGCCTTGCCTTCTTCTATTTGTTAATGTATGTCTTAGTCTTTTAGGTCTCTTAGAAGTAGATGCATTTTCAGTCTTCGAATTCGAAGTCTTTCACATAGTTTCCTTACTACATATTCCGGTGCGTTAGTAATAGAAATCAACATAATTAGTTCAGTGCGCCGCGTAGGGCACATGTGACCTACACGGCAATCAAAAGATTAACATACGCTACTTATTAATAATATCTGACACGAATCGTTGTACAAAAGAGATCGCTTAAATAAAAAAAAATCGAATACACACTCGCTCAGTTTCGCATCGAAATCTGTTTGATTAGTTACTTCCTTAGAGAACAGATGTCGCCACTGCTGTTAGATTTGTAAAGTGTTCTTGATCGGCTTGTTGAGTTAGGCAATCGCTCAATATTACGGCTTTAAAATAGTATGTACTACTCACCCATGCATCAGCTCACTGAGTTTCTCGCCGGATATTCTCAGCGGGTCGCGATTCCGATCCGATAGTAGATTCATTCGCGAAGCAGCTGCTCTTGAGTTGTTAGGTCTCCTTCGGAGGCGCTCGGGCAGCTGTTAGCAAATCCCACCTCCTGGCTGAGCCTTTACTCGCCCACCTGTCCTGGTGAAACTAGAAAGGCCTCGAGGCCACCAGTAATCCGTCAATCATAAAAAAAAGTATGTACTTAGTGGCTTTTGCTTTGCTCTGTAAAGAGAAGGGAATACAATGTGTTAATAACAATTCGTACTATGCGCAGGGCCACTCCAGTTACATTACGCACTTGGACTGGTCGGAGGACAGTCAGTACATCAGAAGCAACTCCGGGGACTACGAGCTGCTCTTTTGTAAGTACACATATGTAGGAAAGGAACGTAGCTGTATGGATGGATGACAGATATGGAGCATGACTGAGTGAGAGAGATAGGAGATGTGGTGTTAGGAAGTAAGAAAGACGGCGAATGAATTTTATTTATTTATTTGGGAAACCATCAGTACAATACTAACATATAATACTTCAAAAAATAGCTAAAACAATAACCAAACCTGTTTCCACCATCAAAATCACATATATGTAGAAAGTGAACAGAAAAGAGAAATTCAGAAAATTAACTTACAAAAAAACATGAGCAACACAATACGCACATATTATTATGTACATCAACTTACACTGTAAAACTAAATTATACTCATCGGACTAAATCACTTTAGTCGTCACGTCGGGGTCACCAGTTTAGTCGTCTTGGGGTCGGTATTATAATGTCTTTCCAAACACAAATGGAGACAAAGAAAGTTTTTATTTAAGACGAACACAATATATAGAAAGAAGGAGAAAGTACACAAGAAATAGATAGTCCAAGCAATACAAGCAGGTACACGAAACAAAAAGCAATAATTAAAAGGCGTAGTACGAAAAGAATAACACGGGATTCGCGCTCGCAAGTCAGATTTCGACTGGTGGCGGTAGATCGGTAAAAATGCGACGACCGGTTCGTCTATGCACCGATGTACTAGCGAAATATTATCGCCGCCGCTATACTGCAGTTATCGCCTGACTTTGCTTGTGAATTTTATTTTGTTCAGTGTTAATAATGTTTTGTATGATTGTGTGATAAATGAATGTGTTGATATAAAATAAAGTATGTATGTGTTGTTGTGTAGTGTAATTATAATAAAATATTATAAAATAAATAAATACATGTGAGTCACCCACAATCACCTTATAAATATTCCAAAATAGCTTTTCTATTAGCTACAAGTGACAAGTAAAATATGTCAGCACTAGAGAACTTAGTATCATACAACCTACAAGATCTACAATCTACAATCTAGATCTACAATGCGGAACACTTAGTTTTATTTTTTAAGTGAGCGAGGGTAGTTGCCGGACGCGACCCAGACTGACGCGGTGTAACTCTGAAGACGTAAGACGTATATATTTTAGTTACATAGATTAAGATAATTAAGACGAAATAAAAAAATCTAGTTTGTGTGAAGTCATCAACCGTTTCACTGGCCCACCCTGAATAGAAAACCCCACATATATTTTAGACATAAACAATTAGCAGTATTCGTCCGACAATCGAAATTCGACCGTAATTACTGATATCTAAAGGTTTAAATCTGTTTGATATCTTACTTTTGGCCGTTCGTTGTGTACATGTGTTGCGTTAATTTTTTTGGGTTTTTAAAAAATATCTGTTCTTTGAAACTCTTTTCTTATGCTGGGGCTATATTAGCTATATTAGCGGGCTAAGATTTGTGTCGCGTTGACGCGATACATCGTGCTGGGCTATGTTGCGGTGTGCTGTGCGACAGAGACGTAATTTACATACAATTGAATAAATTCCAATACTTTTTTGTTACTCCCTTCCACGGTGTACAAGAAAACAAGCACGTTCGTACCGCATCAAAGTCTGAACGACACTGAAGTGACGTAGGTGTAGCCACCCAAGCGAATGTTGTCGCGAAAAATCCCTTTGATACCCGCCAGCTTAACGACAGTGCCTGTCGGCGACGATACCCAAACGGGCATCGTCGGGAGGCCAGCGGAAGCGGGGTGCGGGATGACCCGGAACAAAACGTGACGACAGACAGACGCGTGCGCAACACCAACAACATAAGCAATAAGCCGCAGACTTCATGTGAATCGAATAATATAAAATTGTAAAAAGCAGTACATAATAAAAGTATAAAAAATATAATTTTAACATTTTGTTCAATTCCTGGACAGTGCCCCAACATTACATCGTCTTCGCCCGAATACTACGCACTACAACGATCTACTCAACCACACTCATTGTGATAACACGAATATTCGCAGTAGGCCGCTAATGTAGCCCCAGTCATTATCGCTATTCTTCAAAAATAGATTTTAGTAACTTTGTCCCTTTACTATAGATGTCGCTACTCGTCCTAACTATACGAGGTCTAATTGAGATAATGAGATAATTAATGCTTGAGATACAGGTTTTATCACCTAGTTCAAGCACAGATGCAAATTATGATTGTGTTTCTACTTCTATGTTAATAATAAATAAATAAATTGTCTCCGCAGGGAACGCGATGACGTGTCGGCAGGTGACCAGCCCGTCGTCCCTGCGCGACGCGGCGTGGGCCAGCAACACGTGCCCCATCACCTTCACGACGGTCGGGGTGTGGCCGGAGAACGCCGACGGGACCGACATCAACTCGTGCGCGCGGTACGCAGCTCACCCACCGGTGCCCCTGGGCCGCGACAACCGCCCGCTGTACAACGTCCGCTCCTTGTTGCAGGTCGCGCGACGGTCGACTGGCGGCCACGGGTGACGACTTCGGCAAGGTCAAGCTGTACGCCTACCCCGTCACGCAACCCAAGGTAACGCGCCCACGATACTTGCAGGACCGGGGTGATGACGTCACCGACCCACAAACCAGAACATATATTATGCAGAGACAGGAATGGGCGGGCCGAGCCCACTGAGTTTCTAGCTGGATCTTGACAGTCGCGATTTTGATTCGATGGTAGGTTCTGCGAAGCACTGCTCTTGCTAGGGCTAGTGTTAGCAACGTCACCAAGTTAGAGCCCTGTGAACTCACCTATTCGTTCGCTGAATCCACTATGAACCCTGGAGTAGAATCCCCCCAGATTTGGGGGTATTTTATAGTTATGGGGGGATAATTTTACTGGTGTTAGGACATCTTGTGAGTTCACACGGGTAGGTACCACCGCCCTGCCTATTTCTGCCGTGAAGCAGTAATGCGTTTCGGCTTGAAGGGCGAGGCAGCCGTTGTAACTATACTGAGACCTTAGAATTTATATCTCAAGCTGGGTGGCGCATTTACGTTGTAGATGTCCATGGGCTGCGGTAACCACTTAACACAGGTGGGCTGTGATATCGCCCACCCATCTAAGCAATAAAAAAATCTATTTCGTGGTTTTATTCTTTTTTTTTTTTTTTTTTTTTCGTTTTATAATTTTTATTTTATGAAGTTTTTTAGTTCCTCAATATTTGAATATTTTTCTTTTTAAACCTGATTTTTGGGGGACTTCGGGTGATATTTGGGGAGAATGTGAAATTGTAATCTGGTCATATTGGTTGCAGTCGCTGTGCCACGCGTACGGCGGGCACTCGTCGCACGTGACGTGCGTGCGCTTCACGCAGGACGGCGCGCGCCTGCTGTCCGCCGGCGGACTCGACACCAGCCTCATGCAGTGGCTCGTCGACTGAGCGACCGCCACGCGCCTACCAAGTACCATACTTGGTACTCCTTCGATATCATTCCAAGCGTTTCACAGTACTTCAGCTAGGCCGCGTGTCGTGGGGCTCGTATTGTTTGGTTCCGAAGAATATTATTAAGAAATCATGGTAACCCTAAAAGCGACTTCTCCATACATAAATGACCTACGTGCGATAGAAAAAAAATATATTATCTAATGCTCTAAAGGTGTAATTTCATGGTGTATTCATTCCAAACTCTAAGATATGTCCGTGTGAGGTCGGAGGTTGTCAAACTTATGCTATAGTCACAATGTCCACGCGCCGCCGCGACATGTAGCCGAGGCTGTAACAAACTTAAAACAGGATAATAAGAATTTTAATTAAACTAAATTTGCAAAAATTTTTATATAAAAATAGTTTTAAAACTCCTAAAGATGCCGTGAGGGCTGCTCTTGGCGAACGTAAAAGTTTATTCAAATAAACACTTTACAATTAGAGGTAGAAAGTCGAATTTTGCAATTAGAAGCACTGTGTTGTGCACTCTGTGTAATATCTAATATAACACGTGTAATCGAAGCCTTTTGTATGTGATTGTATTCATTATGATTATAAACTTATACGGTTGAGTTCACGCACAACTCGGTAGGAAAATATTTAAATAAAATTTTAATTGATAAAGCCATTATTTTCAATAAAAAGCATAAATAAATGGCAACACACATTATTTGCCCGGTCTTGTGTATTCACGAATAATAATTTTTCTCTTAAAAATATTTAATTGATTTGTACTAAGTATCAAATGGCACTAAAATAAATGTTTTCATTAAAAATCTTATCTACCTACTTAAGTTTTATAATCAAAATTAAGTCATACAACATCTAATCTATTTGTTTGGAATAAAAAACCAAGTGTTTCTGTTAACAATAAGATCTATTAATTTCATCATATTCTACACATTTTCTATTTGATAATGTACACGTTAAAGTATATAAGGTTTGGTTAAAATGAATCAAAGGTTTCTATAAGTTAATTTAATGATTTCTGAGCGTGAACTCTATCGACATTAGCAACACATGTTGGCCAAACTTCGACCAACGATAATGTATTTAAACCCTTCGACATATTGGTCGCACGATGTGAATGCCGACGACCAAACTTGAAGGGTTTTGATTTTGTATTGTGCCCATGGACCAACGCAGCGTGACCGCGGACTCTGCCGAACTGAACGGTGACAGAGTAATTATGGAGGGTAGAGATAAGGAGCGCCATCTTTTATAGGGGGGATGAGTTGAAAAAGTGTTCACCTGTAAACAGCAAATTGTAGTTGGAAGACTCACCGAAATAGCGCTAGTGTAGCAAGTGGAAACTATATGAATATAGCTTTTTTAAACAGAATCAAGTGTGGTCTATGACGCTGTTTTTTTTAACCTTTCCACTTGCTACTACAACGCCATCTTAATTAGATTACTTTCAGTTGATACTATTTAATACACAGAGCTGATGCTCCTTATTTCTACCCTCCATAAAAGTAAATAAACCACATAGATGTCGCTCAACTACGGCCAACATGTGTTACCAATATGTAGTTTATATATCGTTTATCACATTTAAATTAGTGTTAAAATCGAAGTGGAGTCGTGGCGACTGATTAAATGTATGTACCTTTATTTCGAAACGATCGCTCCAAGAAATTAATAATAGAATCCAACAAGCTCATCTACGAACATCTACACAAACCAAATCGAATCTATGAGCAAAACGAAATTATTTAATTGTCTCATGTAATGTTCTACATTAACGAGTAGACTTTTAAGATCGTTTCTAAATAAAGTAACTCGGATGGATTCCGTCGAATTGTAATACGCCTATATATTATTTTATACGTTTTTAATTATTGCAACACTAACGTATTTTTACACTGGCAACATTTTGCTAAATAATTTATAATATAATTGAGCTTATTGTAGCTGTACTTTATTTATAAGTATTTTTTTAAAAGTATATATATTAAAATAATCGAAATTAATAAGAATCATTGTGGATATTTTTATGTTAATTTTTAAGCCGTGGAGATCAAGATACAAATTAGTTTTTATTTTGAATTTAGTTTTATTTAAGTTAAGCCTTTGTGATTTGTGAACATTTTTAATTTCCATAAAATAATCTACTAGAGCTAGTATGTCATAAATTTTAATCAATACACTTTTAAATCAATGCATAAACTCTTGGCATTAATATTTAATAACTAAAAATTCAAATTTTGAATGTAACGGTAGATACTAAAACATAAAAATTTGCGTCCACACTAACCTATTTTATTATTTTTAAGTATACAATAAAAAAATTCACAAATCACATTAATATCGGTTGTAAGGGAGTGCTCCAGAAAATGGCGTTCGAAGACTCGTATACCTTTTTGGTGTTACTTTTGCACCCAACACGATTGACAATTGTACCTCATGTCTCAACTCAACTAGCTCCAATAATCAGCTACAAACAGGTGCAACTAGAGCCACAAAGAGACGCAATGTAACCCAATCGATTCGGGTAATACTTTGGCCTCAACGAAATACTTTTTTTTATTGCCCTTGTAGGCAGACGAGTATACGGCCCACTTGATGGTGAGTGGTTACCGTCACGCATGGACGTCAGCAATGCCAGGGACAAAGCCAAGCCTCCCGACAGCCGACGCTCGGTTCAAAGCTCCCAAGTACACATTCCTTAGTTAAGCCGGTTCGTAACCTAGTCACTATTAAGCTTCTTTCATTTTCTCTCATCGTCTAGTTTAAGTTACTAAAACACATTAATGTTGTATATATTATTTACGATTTTTTTGTCGGCTATTTTCAACGTGCCTCTAATATAATGATTTTATCTTTGATTCTTGTTTTATTTATCGATGTCCGCAACACGGCTTCGTAACTGGAAGTGCATTAGTAATGGCACCACCAAAGGTACCGCCAATACCTTACGCAAGAGCTCATCTTATTAGCTATTTTAATGAAAGCTACAGTGATCCAATGGTAATTCATTTTCTTTAACTGGCAACACTGTTTAACTTAAGTTTAGGGATTAGAATAAAAAAGGAATTTCTACAGAACACGAGTTTATTTTTAACAGTTATCAATAAATTATAAAGTAATTTTCCAACTGATATTGCATTTTAAATTTAATAGCATTAATAGACTGTATGTTACGACAACGGACACTACATTCATAATGTATGTTCTATAGTATTCTATACAAATAATTTTTCTAATCTACTGGTGGTAGGACGTCTTGTGAGTCCGCACTGATAGATATGACCTGACTATTTCTGCCGTGAAGCAGTAATGCTTTTTGTTTTGAAAGGTTGGGCAGTCGTAGTGTTAAAAGTGAGACCTTACAACTCATGTATCAAGGTAGGTGGCGGCATTTACACTGTGTCTATGGACTCCGGAAACAACTTAACATCAGGTGGGCCGTGAACTCCCATTTAAGCAATAAAAAAAAACAATTCACAAACTTTAGTCAATAATTGTAATGTAATAAAAAACTTTGACATAACAAACCCTATAACTTTACGAACGTAGACAGAAGATTTTTAATCAGCCTTTAGAGTAACAATTAATTTGTACTTCATTGAAACTATTTGATTAAGTTTTTCTCAACTTAAAATCCACTCTGACAAAAACAATCATCTATATTAATCCAGTAAAACTTATTGACTATAGTGTTTGAGAGTCACTCTGTAAATGCAATTTTAAACGCTAAGTTCGAGTGAAACGCCGTATGATATTTGAAAATAATAACTTCAATTCATTATTAATCAATCAATAATATCATATTTACAAAGCACTTTTTGTCATCCGTATTTTGATTCATCAATATATAGACAATATCAACAAATATTTTAACTGCTTTAAAGACATTTGCTGATAGCATTTTATATGCAAATTGATACACGTGACTTCAATTTGATAGTAAAATATTAAATAAATATGCTACAAATGATAGTTTTTGTGTAATTTTTGTGTGACGTTTACACAGCTTGTGAGCTTCCTTCCGATCAAAGAATCGATAGCTCTGATCCTAACAATGCAACATCAATACGGTTGTAACTTTATTACTCGTCCGTTGTGCTGCACGCAATGTATATAGATGTCGAGGCACGGGGTCATTGCCCCCTCGGCGACGACGACAAGCAGACTTCGCTTTAGATTACGGGTTCACGAAACTAGAACTAATGCAAGTACTTATGCTCATAACAATATTGATACTTCATTGTTAATACTATGACTATTAATATCAAGTTATTGCACTGATTCTACTACCGGTTTTAAAACTTTCCCTCACAGATTGCATTATTCGAACAATCCATTGGATTTCGTTATGATCAGAAATTATATATTTTTAATTTGATGAGTACCATCATACTAAGGTCTCAAACCGTCATACATACCACCGATAGATATCCTACAGATATCCAAAAAAATGCAGATACATTTTCAGTACTCAACTTAAATGACACTTGCTCTTTTCGTTTTCCCATGAACTAACAGAACATCACAGTAGACAAGTCACAGTCACAGTTGTAGGAGGGTTAACAAAAACACTGTATGTCATGTATGACTCAACTATTTAATGTCCTATATCAGTTGTTCTACACTGTTGGCTGACAGCTCGAGCAGCCGCCACGCCGACTTGGGGTTGAGCTCCTGGGGGTCCCTGCACAGCACCCACACGTAGTTAACCCTCATAACTTTATCCGGAGAACCTTCGATAACATTCCCTTTGCCGTCCCTGACGCACATTATCTGCTGCGACTGGAACGTGATGACCAGGACCGGCCCCTGGTCCATCATCTTGCCCATCACCAGCTCGATCTGTTCGATGTCGAGGATCTTGGAGTCGAGGCGGTAGCCCAGCTGCTTGCACTGCTTGATCGGGGTTGCGAGAATGTTGAACACGCCCTCGTAACACCAGTCCTTCAGTATTTCCAAGTCTCCTCTGACCATAGCCTCTAGAATGTTCGGTATGATGTCGTTGGCGCAGTCTTCGAGAAATTTCTGTGCGGTGAAGTTCGGGTCGATTTTACAGATTTCCGTCAAGGTTTTCGATAGTTCAGTCTTTTCAAACATGTTCCCGAACAGACTTCCCATCTTTTCTGTGAGCAGCCGCGACGCCCTCACCACTGGATTGTCCGATTCTTCGTATTTGATTTTCCAATCTAAAACCTGAAACCAACGTGCATTAAGATTATCTAAACAAAAACACTTCATCAGTTTTATATTGTGATTAAATTCTTTTAAGTCGTCGTGGTCTAACGGATAAGACGTCCGGTGCATTCGTGTTGAAGCGATGCACCGGTGTTCGTATCCCGCAGGCGGGTACCAATTTTTCTAATGAAATACGTACTCAACAAATGTTCCCGATTGACTTACACGGTGAAGGAATAACATCGTGTGATAAAATCAAACCCGCAGAATTATAATTTGCGTAGTTACTGGTGGCAGGGCCTCTTGTGAGTCCGCGCGATTAGGTACCACCACCCCGCCTATTTCTGCCGTGAAGCAGTAATGCGTTTCGGTTTGAAAGGTGGGGCAGCCGTTCTGACTATATAACTTATATCTCAAGGTCGGTAGCGGAATTTACGTTGTAGATGTCTATGGGCTTCAATAACCACTTAACACCAGGTGGGTTGTAAGCTCGTCCGCCCATCTAAGCAATAAAAAAAAAATCTAGTCTTCCACAAACTCCATAGATGGCTGACCGCATTATGTTTGGAGTTGTCTGAACTCCTCGCCCTGGGTGCAGCACAAACATACCTTATTAACATACTGATTGTTGTTCTTGAAGTTCTCCCACTGCTGATAAAACTTTGAGTCCTTGTGCAATTCCACTCCAGTCGTCTCGGTGTCCGGAGAAAACGTTCTTTCGTCTTCTGCGACCTGAATGTAACGTTTTTATTGTTACTCTCACAGTTTCGATTTTAATGTGAAATATAATATTCAAGACTGTTTTAACGAATACAATAATAGTGTGGGAGTTTACCAGAGTTTGACTTGCAATAAAAAAGTTTTTTGTTCTTGTTGTTGTCGCAAAGCTGAGAGTTGTTTCTTTTCTTGTTATTGTCAAAATTATCACAGAGCATTATTTAAATAGGTAATGAATATAATATAAAAAAACCTTTTATGTGCATTCCAATGATGGATCACGAATACATTTTACTGGATACATGGAGTCTTGAAGTCCGCACAGGTAGATCGGTACACCATCATTCTGTTCATTATTATCAAGGTCATTCTGCATTCACATTGTGAAGATCTCACATCAAAGACCATCCGCTAACCACTCAACATCAGATGGACCCTGAGCTCGTCCGCTGTCTGTGCATTAAAAATCTTTTTACTTATTTATTTTATTGCTTATATGGGTGGGCGAGCTCACAGCCCACTTGGTGTTAAGTGGTTACTGGTGCCCATAGACATCTACAAGGTAAATGCGCCACCCACTTTGAGATATAAGTTCTAAGATCTCAGTATGGTTACAATGGCTATCTCACCCTTCAAACCGAAACGCATTACTGCTTCACGGCAGAAATAAGCAGGGTGGTGGTACCTTCCCGAGCGGACTCACTCCATTTTTGCAGAAAAACTTAGGTACTGATCGTCTGCGCTATGCTAGAATACCTCAATACGTTTCCTTAAGGCGACAGGAGCGATGTAGACACGACCCTCGAGTCCTCGGGGTGACATTTCGTTTTTCACTACTTCTGTTGCCTGATAATTAATAAAACATTATTTAAAACAATAAGCTCTTCGAAATATACAAGCTCGTTAAATATACAAATACAGTTAACAATATTATCACTTAATGTTATTTCATCACTGTCTATGTCATCTGTCCGGCAAATTCCATTCTAAGACCAATTGATAGTCTTTACTCAGATGGTATTGAGACTTCGAACTCTCAAAGCGAGCATCGTGATTCACGTAATAAATTATATCGAACAGATAAGATAATAAAGGCTATTTGGTTTAAGCGACATTTTTTGAAACTTTACAGGAGAGCTATTTACGCCAGTTTAAAATTTGGAAAAATATCATGAAACAAAAAAAACTTCTTCATCTATTTGAATGATGTAAATATAGTTGGGAGTTCGATTAAAAAGATCGGATTGTTGATGCTAATACCAAATAAAACGGACCTGTAATTACAAAGAGAAATGTTGCGTGTTAAGCGAATGTCGTTTAAACCAAATAGCCTCTTACCCGTTGACATGTAGTCTAATAAAGGCATAACACTTGAAATGTAGCTTTCTTTTTCCTACCTAAGTTGATGGCCTTGAGAGGATATGTCAGCGTAACCTAAAAAGTATGTGAGCTCACAGGGATCAAACCTGACGACGTTGCTAACACTGGCCCTAGCAAGAGCAGTGCTTCGCAGAATCTACCACCGGATCGGAAACGCGACCCACTGAGAAGATTCGGCGGGAAACTCAGTGGGCTGTGTCTATGGGTTGATTTACTCGTCGAGCCCTTCGTCGTAGACGACGCCTCTAGTCGACCGGGAGGATCCGAAATCACGTGTGAAATTTTGTAACGAGCTTAGTTGTTAAGGAACAGAAAAAAGATTAAAATTGTAAATGAAGTTAACACATAAAAATAATGACAGAGATAACAGTAACTTCACAAAATAAATTTGATTCTGTTTTCACAAAAATATATAGTATTTCATTGTTCTTATTGATTTATATAATTAATTTCTCAAATATTACATCAACTTTGTTGGAATTGTACAGATCTTTATTCCGGTTTTATGACACTCACTACGTCTACTCTTAACTATATATCGACACTTGAAAGGCAAACGTGACCAAGCGACAATAACTGCATTGTACATAAATTATAGGCAATAACCATATTCGATGCGCAAAAAAAAATATATTTCAAGGTCTATTAAAATAATTTCAATCCTACAGCTAGATTCGTTAAAATACAAATTTTTTCAGGGATTTAAACTTTAAATTAGTCTACTGTAAAGTTCACGCATTGTCGCTTAGTCACGTTTGCCTTTCAAGCGTCGATATGATCAGAAAGGAATAAATATGTGAATAAAACCATACACCTGCGATATAGTTCTGAAAGCAGAAGTTTGTCCAATTCTCTGTCCTTTATCCGCTATACCCTCCGCAGCACTGCGAGCCGTCTTCGAGATGTCCTCCGTAATTTTCCCTGTAAAAAAATTATACCATTTCAATAAAAAATTTAATAAAAATATTTTTAGTTTGAAATTTTCCCATAGATAAAGCACATACATATTTAAGTGGAATTGTAGATTTTCTAGCAGGAAAATTCTCTTTCTACTATTAAGTCTGGCGACCTAGTTAGATGTAAGAGTTTATTAGCCTGGCCAAATGAATAGGCATACACAAAAAAAAATACAAATAGGTCATAAAGTTATCTCAAATGGACAAATTTTTCATAAGAGGACTCAATATATGGGTAAAGAGTTACGGGATCAACTAACCTGCTTTTTTGGCTATATCACTTTTACTCGCCTCCTCTAGTACATGCTCCATTTTTCCTTTGATACCCTCAATGGTTTCTTTCAATACTTCTGAACTCTTCGACGCTTCTGATTCAACGGCGTGAAACTTTTTCCTAGCTGCCTAGAATATACATAAACTTCATAATAATTCACACAATTTTCAAACTAACATATAATTTACTCATTTATTATACTGTATGTCAAACCCTAAGATAAATAATTTGCAGAATACACATATATTGTTTTTTTTCACTCTAATTGATAGTCACTTTTATCTTTTCTAAGAAAAAGAAACTGTTCAACAACTCAAGTATTTCTATCAACATGTTTTATCATTTTCTACTTGTCGTTAAAAGTTAATGGGACTGCTATTGTGAACAAGGTTCACAGGTACAAGTATTTGATAATAATAATTACATCTTTAACACCTGGAAACCTTGTAAGGTACGTCAAGAATAAAATGAAATCTTATTCTTAAAATCTTACTTGCAAAGCTTCCGAGTTCTCAAGTTTCTGTGCCTCCTCTCTGAACTTTTTTATATTCTCTTTCATTTCCTTGTTCTTTGCAATATCCTCTTTGATGTTCTCTATTATTGATGAGAAGAATCCTTTCCTTGCAGAATACTGCCGACATTCTTGTATGGTGTACTGGAAATGTGATTTCATTATGAGGTAGAATTATTTAAATTATGTATGAATAAGTAGTAGTTTTTTGAGTCAAAATTAAGGATATCTTTATTTTACATCTGACGATAACATTGTTTAATAGTCTTTAGTCATAGCTAAGTTTAAAACCCTTTTGGTTTTTAAGCTCTGGTAACAAATCTTCAGGATTGCTTCGACCTATTGAACAGCTGGTGTCATAAGATACTTAGTCAGAAATAATGCCTATTTATATTTCTTTACATTTCAATATCATATTGGACTTGTAAAAATTTTACTATAAATTAAGGTATTAATTTTTTGGGACAGCATAATTAAAATTTAAGAACATAGGAAATTAATTACACAATACATCTATTACGAAACTTTTGAAACAAGTGTGTAATTCCTGAAACTTAAACTGCCATAAAAATATTAAAACTTAATCACTTTATCTATGTTACCTGGTCTGATTTTGCCGAGAGTGATGTTGTCTTCAAACTCGAAGGTAGAACACATTTCCAACGAGCGGGACTATATAATAACTGTCTATATGCATGCTAAAACGAAAAAATATCAATATTTAAATTTCAACTCCAAGGACACATTATCTAACCTATAAAATAATATTAAGCAGTTTACCATATTCGATAACAGGAACAGGTCACACGGGATACACTATTATAATATAATTATTATATATAATAAGAACAGTGTATTCGAAAAAAAAATTAATTAATTTATTGTAAAAAGGAATTTAATTGTATAATTTACGACATCGGTACAATTTCATCATAAATCCCTGCTTCTCTGACATTTGGATCTTATTGATTGACATTTGACAATTCTGAACACAGACTTGGATTAATTGTTGGCAAGTTAATTATGTAACACTTAATATTTGAGATCTATAGATGCAGTTCTTGTAATATTTTTGCTTTAATTTTATATATATCATTTATATTATATAGTTTAAGGCTGAAACACAAAATCGCATCTTTTTTTTAAAGTATCATTATGCCGTGCAGTCTTTGCCTCGAATCTAACAGCTCAGCTCTAACAGTGTTGGATGGTTGAATTTGAGGGGACTGGGTTCAGTAGGTGAGGGGCTATAAAATTTAAAAACACTGCTTCATGGTTAATATATATTGCAAACACTTTGTACACTATTACAATATTTTATTTTTATAAAACACTAAGATGTTGCACTGTCCGTGTCTAGATGAGAAGTCCTCGTCATGACTGAACAGAAGACAATCATCTGTTTTAAACATTTAAATAAGCATTCCAATATTCGAAAACTGTTACTTCACATGTGACTTGTGTTGCCTGCCATTACTTACACATACAAACTCCAACACACCCCCTCAACACTTGCACACATTTAAAGCCCTGTTTAAAATTTAATAGAATATACTAAAAAACAAATAACTCACTAAGCTTTTTATTTTTTATTTTTTTTTATTGCTTAGATGTGTGGACGAGCTCCTAGCCCACCTGGTGTTAAGTGGTTACTGGAGCCCATAGACATCTACAACGTAAATGCGCCACACACCTTGAGATATAGTTCTAAGGTCTCAGTATAGTCACAACGGCTGCCCCACCCTTCAAACCGAAACGCATTACTGCTTCACGGCAGAAATAGGCGGGGCGGTGGTACCTACCCGTGCGGACTCACAAGAGGTCCTACCACCAGTAATTACGCAAATTATAATTTTGCGGGTTTGATTTTTATTGCACGATGTTATTCCTTCACCGTGGAACCGTATTCTACCTGACCGTATTCTACCTGACCTTCGTAAGTTAAATATTACCTTCCACACATGCCAAATCATACATTAATATCACACACCCACTTACATTTAATTACTGCCACTTAATCCCCCTCAATTCAACCAACAACTATTAATTCAACCTTTCAAACATAATACCAACTTTAATATCGCTACTTTTAATCCTTTCTCACTTGACCAACTCCTACTCGACTAAACATGTACTTTCATTAAACCACACAACCATTCAATCTTAACTTCCCTTTTAACTCGCTGTATAAAACATCACTAACTATAATAGTCTTAAACTACTTCTCGACTCTTTACATAAGCTCATCAAGTTTAGGTATTTAATTTTTTTTATCTCCATTTAGACTACTCACAACATGAACTTCCTTAAGTTCACTTATAAAACCTTAATCTCCTTGTCGATCTCTTTAACCATAAGCTCCTTCTCCACGACTCACAACATGAACTTCTTTATGTTCACTTAAAAACCTTAATTTCCTTCTCGACCTCTTTAACTATTTATAATAACCTTTCATTAACTTTTATTATCATTCATTTCTTAAGTTTTCTCACTTATGCACATATGTTAACCATTCAATTATTGAAGTGAAAACTTCTTTAGAATCGTGATTTCAAACCGGATGCAACGGAAAAAGCGACAGTAGAAAGAGACGGACATATACATTTATAAGATTTAACGTGGGAGAAAATGAGATAGGAAGCATTACAGTGTTTTTTTAATACAGCGCCATCTATGAGGTGGTTTATTAATAATGTTTATGAAATCTATCGTTATTATTTTTAATTTAGGATAATACTTGAAGTTAAGATTTTAATTCACAGAGGGCGTTAGCTCATACTATAAAAGTTGATGATTTGCAATAATAATTATGTACTTGGTCTACTAAAGACAAAATTTTACATACATATACATAAGATAATTGTATTTTAGTTTTTGAAGGTTTCACTTCTATCACGTGTGAATTGCATACATGTTTTTTTTTATTACAAAACTAAAATTCCAAACAACAATAATCAAAACTATAAAAGAGACTCAAAAGGATTTGTAAATATTTTTGTATCAGAATGGAAATTATTTTATATCAATTAAACAAACATATCTTTGAGTGGAGACCACGAATGATAAATGTGACACAGAACGCCCTCAGGCTTGGTGGAGTGACGATTTATGCAGGGTGGCTGGTGGCTCTGGATGAGAGAAGTCGAGGATCGTGCTCAGTGCCGTACAATTGAAGAGGTCTATGTCCAGCGGTGGACTGCTGTAGGCTGATGATATGATATATGAAACAAACTTAAAGGAAATTAATTACTAGAATTTTGACCTGAAAAAATAGAGATTATTACATATTTTCAGTACTTGGAATTTTAAAGTTAATACATTCATTTTTCGAAACATTAAAATGTGGTTAAAAAATATCGATAGTTTTTGGAGAAGCCTACCCAAATATTCGGTTTGATTACAAATGATCGTCTAATTGTTTAAATAACAATCGAACTAAAAGTGATATAATATTGTTTCTTGACAGTATGATTTTCTAGAACGAAATTCTCGTATATTAAATTTAATTTGAATTATAGTTTTGTTTAGAAGAGTTACATACATGGACTTTTGAAACGAAACTTTTTGAAATCATAGATAAACCCAGAAAGTCAACTTCCTGTTCAGAAAATTTTTAATATAAATATTTTACTATATGCCGTTGAACAGAAAATTTTTCGTAAAGTTTTCGAGCTTAAATAATAAGAAATGAAATTTTGCTTTATTTTTAATGTTGCGAAAAGTTGCTTTAAAATTATTTGTTTTAGTTTTCGAGTGTGAAATTATGTCATTTCCGGTGTGAAGCCCGTTTGTGAAACATACGAAAGTGTATTGTTCAATTTTCTTTTCTTTTCCGTCACAAATTTTCTAATATAAAGTGTCGTGTATATGTTTATAAAATATAGTTTAGTTCACTAATTATATTTATAGATCGCATTGAATTTGAAAGAACATCCAGGAGGGCCTGTCATAGACAGCGAGAAGGTAGCTACGTAATATCGAATGTCTTGAAATTTCTTCAATCCATATTTACATATAGCATAGTAGATATCGCGAACCGTGGCGACCACGTTTTCGCCAGCTGTTGTGGCATAAGTAATCGGTTAGAGTAGTCGATAGAAGTACACAGTTTAATAATGTTTTCCGCGAAGTGTCATTTAAGTTGACGGTGTGGTGTGTGGCAGGTCGGTGCGGCGTGCGCGATTCTACTCGCTGCAGCTTCTCCAGAAGCCAGGATCAACAATTCATCAAGTCGCAGAGCTCTCGTCCATCTGGGCGTTACCGTTTTATATGACTTTAGCAAGATATTCAGGTGAGTCCAAATGTTTTTCAAAAACAGCGTGCGGCTTTGGAGGAAGCAGCGTGCACGGGCTCGTGGGTTAGCTATCTTAGTACATAGATAACGATGACAATTAATTTTAGACTCGACTGAAGAAGGGTTACATTTTAAAATACTTTGAAAATTTGTAATTCTTTAATAGCTTTGTTTAATGTAATTTTTGATTTATCTAAATACCTGCTAGTAAGTAATAATTTTTATGTATATATATATATTTATATAGGCGGTATTGAAGTAGACATATTTGCTTCATACGTGCTTATAGCCTATACCCATCATAGTATGACGCAAACATAAAAGAAATTCACTGACCACAATTAATATCAAAAATAATTTACAACATTAAAGATAAAAAGTGGTTGAAAATTAAAATCTAAAACAAGAATAACTTCAGAGTTCACCACATCTGTGGCTTTTAAATAATTTCTATCAATATTCTCATGATGGTGCTTTCTATACATTCAGTTTTCATTAAACCTGATTGGAATGCTAAAAGTGAGAAATAAAAATAAAAAAAATTATCATCCTTTTTAATAGAAATAGTACATGTCAACCAACTCTCAAGTCTTTGTCTCTAGAATATAAAGATTGGTATATAAAAGACTTTAGAAGGGGTGCCTTCCATCTTAACCTTGTTAAATTTCAATTATAAAGTCATTGTTACATTACAATATCTAATTTTTATTATAAAAAGTAGCTAGTGCCACTTTTGCTATACTTAAATAATTTTTTTTCAGAACAATAGTATTGATTGAATCAACAAACTAATACATAGTTTTGTAATTTGTCCTCTAAACAGCTTATAGTGGATTTAAATCGTCATATCTCAGAATCAGAATAGTACAAGCATGCTGGTGATACAAGCCCATAGTAAATCTAACCACTAGTTAATGATTCAGATTTATAAAATAGGTAGGTTAATAACAAAATTGCCCAAAATTCCTTCATAATGGAATCATTCTGTCAATACCCTTTAAGTATTTGTTAAGCATTTGTATTTATAAAGAACATCACCAGGCACTCTTCTCAATATTTCAGACATTTCACGCATTAGGCAATAAATGCTTCAACTGATACAAAGTATCTTTTAACACCTAAATCAGGGCTAGTTATAGAAACTTACTGGACATTTCTATCTATCGATTTATGTATAAGCCCTCAGATGTCCACTGTTGGACATAGACCCTGTCCAAACTTAACCATAATGCTCACCATAATGTTTAAGGTTATTTGAATCAATAACTGCAATTATTTTATTTCATTCTTTTGGTAATTTTAAGACACTGCTGTTCCATAAATTATAAATGAGAGTTGATCATCAGTAGCTGTTGCTATTTTTCAGAATTTGAAATTGTAGTTCAGGCTTGGATAGAAAACTGCATCAGAGATGTGGGACCTATCTCGGTGCATATATTTTTCCTCATGTCAATCTGTTGTTTGGCCACAGTATGAAACATAAACTCATAACTTTATTGCAGATAGCTGTTTTAAATAAATTATCCATGCATATGTAGCTTTCTAGCCTTTTCTTCCATTTTTTATTTGAAATTCTATAGGAGCTTTGCGTATCCCTGTATCAATTCTGAGTTGTTTGAACACATGCCAGTGTGAATAAGAAATATAGTCTTAGGTATTGTTAGAAATTTAATTCTTTTTATGGCGTAAACCATTGCCCTTAATTGCATAAAACTTGCTAGTATACCGATCATATTAAAATTCCTTTTTTTAGTTATTAAAGGTAATAATGTCGGTGTGCGATGGCGTCATAATGTGCGTGCGTTTTTGTTATTTGTAAATCATCCTGCCACTGAACATGAAATTATTTGAACTGGCTCGCGGGCATTTGTTTCTCTACAATTACAGCATCAGTCATATATGTCTTTAAACATGTATCGTGTTAAAAATTATTTGTTACGTAGTGTTATGATTATTACATTTACATTATTACATTATACAAATAGATTAAAATTTTAATAATTGTACGTTGAACGGACAAACGATCCGAATTTTTATATAGTGACTGCAATAAAATGTTCCAACTATTTTTATTCATAATCATTGTTATCACCACGTACACGCGTATGCTTCGTAAAAGTTACCAATGTATTTTTATTGTAATGACGTCATCGCCTACACTTTTTTGTGGTCCGAAGGAATTGTCAGAAATTCCGCTTACGCATTGGGGGTACTAGGTGGGGCGTATTAGAATTAAATCAGCTAATGCTCACTATCTCGCTCAACCAACAAACTACATCCGAGCCTCATATGAGCCTCACTAGATGGAAGCTCAACCGTTACAGACGGAAGGTGCAGTGACGCGTTCCGTGTAGAGCGCCTTTCTCCCTACCACCCTCCTCCACCCACGAAACGACGAACCGGCTATATTGGCAATAATATCTGTATCGATGGGCTGTCTAAAGTCGGACCGAGGTGATGCCTCCAACTTGCACACGAGGGATTCCGGCTGGGTTAGAACTAGCCTGGCTGGAGAGTACTGTGAACCATCACCCCGATCCCTATACCGGGCTGAGGCACCACCGTACCGGATTGGTGCAAAGAGAGCTCTCCCTCTCTTTCACACGCCCCGCCGCCTACTTCTGTCAGACAGTGCACTCGGAAAATTTGAGCATCGTTTAGCGCAAAGACCTCCACGACACACATATCTAATGCAGTTGATTAGCAAAAAATATTATTTTAGCCAGTTGGATTAAACAATTAGATTACCAGATATTTAGTAACTTTATCAACGTATTAAGTTTCCTCATTCACACTACCAATGGCACTAACGACGGCTATTAATGCCGTGCTCTGAGGAATTGTTCGTTTTTACCATTGCACCGCCCGCCACCGGAGTAGAGTTCATCCGTATTACCTGGAGCCGCTGCGTTCATCCACAGTGCGTTTCCAGAGATCTTTTTTGCTACGCACCATCCGGCTTTGGAATCAGCTCCACTCCACAGTGTTTTCCGAGCGCTATGACAAGTCCTTCTTCAAACGAGGCTTGTGGAGAGTATTAAACGGTAGGCAGCGACTTGGCTCTGCCCCTGGCATTGCTGACGTCCATGAGCGACGGTAACCACTCACCATCAGATGAGCCGTATGCTCGTCTGCCTATACAGTAATAAAAAAAACGCCTGCGTCGTTACTAGAGACGCTTGAATGGACTAAAAAAAAAAACTATCAATATTTTTAATCACTTTCTGAATACTTCCCGTGCGCTGCTAAAAAGGCATAGTTTTATACTAGCAGACTCTGGTTTACGTGAGGAGCTTACGAAAACCGTGTTATGTCACGTCCGTTCGTTGAACTCGCCTTTCACGTCTAGCTCGTGCTCTTCACGCTACAGACTAAGATCCCCCACGGCGCTGTGACGTCATAGAAATACTGCGCGACTCTGATCCTCCGGATTTAAGGATGACCTCTGAGGGGATGTGCGCGGAGACGGGAAGACGCTGATTTATCAAATATTGTATGACTTGCTTCCGTTCTTGTTGATCGCTAGATGCGACAGAACCCCGCTGCAATGTACTGTATTACATTTTAATTTGATAGCATCAATATTTCTCTATTCTAACAATTTTTGAAGTTGTGAACGTTTTAAGTTTAGCCACGGTGTGCATTTTTATAGCCGAGCTCACATAATAGCTCAGCATAATGTCGAAAACTCTATTTGATTGTTGGCTGTGTGCATGTATAAATACTTCGCCGGAGGATGGACTGCTTCCACAGTAATTATGCGAATTTATAAATTTTGCGGGTATGTTTTTCATTGAACAACGATTTATTCTTCATCTTGGAAGACTCGTGAATGTGTTTTAAGTAAGTACTTCATGAGAAAAATTGGGATCTGCCTGAGACAGCTTAACCTCGGCATAGTCGCATCGATTAGTAGAATAGTAAGTACACCGGGCGTCTTAACCTTTAGGCCACGACGACTTGAAAGCTAGTTTCAACTATATTTCATTTTTTTTTATTGCTTAGATGTGTGGACGAGCTCACAGCCCACCTGGTGTTAAGTGGTTACTGGAGCCCATAGACATCTACAACGTAAATGCGCCACACACCTTGAGATATAGTTCTAAGGTCTCAGTATTGTCACAACCGCTGCCCCACCCTTCAAACCGAAACGCATTACTGCTTCACGGCAGAAATAGGCGGGGCGGTGGTACCTACCCGTGCGGACTCACAAAAGGTCCTACCACCAGTAATTATCAATCAATTACAAACAGTATTAAGATTTGTAATAAAACAGACCATACTAAGACTATATTCATATTTATGAATGTCGAATTCGGCCTTTTTTTATTGCTTAGGTGATTAGACGAGCTCACAGCCCACCTGGTGTTAAGTGGTTATTGGAGCCCATATACATCTACAACGTAAATGCGCCACCCACCTTGAGATATAAGTTCTAAGGTCTCAGTATAGTTACAACAGCTACCCCACCCTTCAAACCGAAACGCATCACTGCTTCACGGCAGAAATAGGCGGGGTGGTGGTACCTACCCGTGCGGTCTCGCAAGATATCCTACCACCAGTAAAAAGTTGCGGTTTGTCTGCAATACCTGGGATATAACCAAACTCGTTCTATCAGTTCTTTTTTGTTTTTTTTCCTACCTATTCTAGTAACCTCTAGGTGATCCTCTTAGTATAGCCATACTAGATTCGTAGAATGAGTAACTGAGCTTACGTGGCTCAAACCTGACGATTTATCAGTAAGGAAATTTCCAAACTATCCATTACACTAGATCGCAACCTATTTCTTCATGCCAATTCCTCGTCAATACGAGAACATTTCATTAAAGTGCCTAAAAATAGTATCGTCTTCGAGTTCGCTTAGTGTCCTGATTGCGTAATATAATCAATGAACCAACGCAATTTATCAATTTTCCACCCTTGAACAATCTCGATTAGAATTCCGAAATTAAATGGAAATTCTAAAAGGACTTGTAACTACTGAACTGATTATATGT